AGCCCCCCCGCCGTCCCCAGCACTCCAGCAAAGACCCCCCTGTCACCAACGCTCCAGCCCCCTGCTGCCACCAGCGCTCCAGCAGAGACCCCCCCACCATCCCTGAAGCTCCAGCAGAGACCGCCCACCGTCCCCCACGCTCCAGCAGAGACCCCTCTGCCGTCCCTGACTCTCCAGCAGAGACCCCTGCCCCCCACTGTCCCCAGTGCTCCTCAGCAGTTTGGATGTGTTTCTTTATCATCGTCTGGTGTCCGTGTGAGATGCCCGTGCCATTCCCATTCTCCACCGTCTGTGGTCTGTCATTCTCTCTGGAAGCTTACAGAATCGTCCCGTTAGCCCTCAAGTGCTGACATGTCACAGTTTGCTTGGTGTGTGACTTTCTCCGGCCGGTGGGGTGGGTGGTGGGTGCTTTGAATTTGAAGACTTGTGACTGGCAGCCCTGGGAGGTTTTCTCGAGTTCTCTCTCAGTGGCTCCTTTTCATTCCTCAAGTCTTATCTCTCCCCTTTCCTGGAAAATTACTTAATTCCAGCCTTTTAGTTTACTTTTAAAGTTTGTGTTTTCATATTTTTAATTTCGAGGAACTCTCTTATTCATTAAATGGTCCTTTTTAAAAATAGCATTCTCCACCCATTCGTGGGCGTAGCAACTTTTCGTTCTGAGAACATTAATTACAAGGAATTTAGAAAACACTTTCCTTCTCTTCCCCGCACTGTTTCATGCTGCCATGTTCCTTTCCTGGTGGTTTTAGCATCTGTTATTTCCTGCTGGAGGGTGTGGTCCTGGCAGGTCTCCCCAGGTTCTTGGCTGGGGAGGTCCCCGCACGGGGGTCCCAGGGCTAGGCGTCTCGGGTGTACCTCAACCCCCTCCCTTTAGCAGGTGCTCCATGCCCGCTCTCTTCCGGGCCGTGGGCTCCCAGGCTGGGCAGGGCTCACTCTCTCCTGCCTGGTGGTAGGGGAGGTCCGGGCCCTGGATGTCTGCAGGGGGAGGGTGGGGGCCCGGGGTTCTTCACGAGTCTGCCAGGGCCGCTGTACCACAGTTCCGCAGACTGGTGGCCTACAGAACGGAGACATATTATCTCCCGGTCTGGAGGCTGGAAGTCCGAGATGAGGTGTGAACAGGGCTGGTTCCTTCTGCTGCCATGGTCTGGGCTTTGTCTGCTGTCCACCTTAGCCATTCTTTGGCTTGTAGAAGCATCGCCCCTACCTCTGCCTTTGTCTTCATGTGATGTTCTCCTTGTGTTTCTCTGCCCAGTTGTTCTCTTTTGTAAGGACTCCATATTGAGTTCGGGGCTCACCTGACTCCCACGTGACCTCATCTTCATCAGTCACATCTGCAAGGACCCCGTCTCCAAATAAGGTCACATTCTGAAGTCCTTGGGTTTAGGACTTAAACACAGAGATTTTGAGGGGACATAATTCAACCCATAGCAGGTTTAATGCTGGCTTTCCACCAACACCCGTTTTTGGTCCCCCCTGGAAGCCAGCCTTCAGAGGCACCGAGAGCCTTGCTGGGTCCCACTGAGTGGCTTGGCTTGTTTCTTGTTGGGCTCCGGATTTCACGGGCTTGCTAAGCCAGGCTGCACTCGACCCGTCGGCTGTCTCGTCCAAGAGTTGTGGTGTTTCTCGTCTGTCGCCGCCCTAACCAGTCCCCCGTCCCTGTGGATTAGCACCGCATGCAGGTGTCAGTGGGATTTTGGAAGGGAGAAGTTTCAGTCACCAACCAGAAGGAGCTGTTCTGCCTTTCTGGATATTGTTTCTAATTCATGTCTCCCTTTTTCTCAAGGTGTCTCCGAGCTCACTTGGGCTCCCAACACTGCTAAGGGTGACCCACAAAGGCCAGAGAGATGGCCGGGGCCTCCGTGAAGGTGGCGGTACGCGTCCGCCCCTTTAATTCCCGGGAGATGAGCCGAGACTCCAAGTGCATCATCCAGATGTCTGGAAGCACCACAAGTGAGTACTGGTGATGGGGTGTCCATGGGTGGCTCGTCGCTCGGGGCCGCACATCCTGGGCTGCCCAGCCGGACAGGGCGGCCGGCCTGGCACCCCCAGCTCCCTCCTCGTCCACATGGTGTGTTGGTTCCCTGGGCTGGCAGGGACAAATGACCACAAATGGGGGGTGGCTCCAACAACAGTTCTGAAGGCCGATGTCTGAAATCGGGGTACTGACAGGGTCGTGCTGCCTCTGACGTTCTAGAGGACTCTCCTTCCTGCCTCTTGCGGCTTCTGCTGGTCCGGCCGTCTTGGCTCGCAGCCGGCGTCAGCACATGACTTCACATAGGAACACCGACCAGCTGGCTGGTGGGTGGGGGTGGGCTGGATGGGGGATGGGCACTCAGGAGGGCACTTGTTGTGAGCACTGGGCCTGTGTGTAAGTGAGAATCACTGAAACCAGTCCTCCATGGTGTGTGGACTAACTAGCATTTAAATACAGACTTGAAACACCAAAAGAGAAAAGAATGCTGATCCCTGGATTTAGGACCCACCCTGCTTCGGCATGACCTCACTGTGACAGCTAATTCCATCTTCAAAGACCCCGTTTCCAAAGAAGGTCACCCTCTGAGGCTCAGGATGGACGTGAATTAGGGGGGCACACTTTCCGACCCAGTACATGAGGTTACAGATTTCTCATCTCGTTTCAGCTGCCCTACGTTTATACATTTATATGTTATTTTATTCAGCCTGTTCTTTTGCCTTGTTTGTGATTGTAGGTCATCTCCAACCGTCCTGAGGAGGGGGAGGCCTGCAGTCCACAGGCTAATAGGCGGTAGTAAGAGAGGGAATGACAGTGTGGTGCTCAGGGAGGCAGATGAGCCCTGAGAGGCCTTGTTAGCTCACAGGCTGCTGGCAGGAGAGAGCACCCACTCTGAGCCTGGCCTTTGCTCTTTTGGCTTGAAATTTTGGATCAAATTGGCCCCGCATGCAGATGAGTGGCCAGATTCTCACAACCCGAGCAGCACCCCGGGAGACCCTCCTGCCCCCCGTCCACCTCTGCTTCCAACACGGAGGTTAGCAGGGCTTGTTTCGGGTCCCACGAAAACCGAGCCAGGGTCTGGGTTATGTCTCCAGCTGATTAACAGCCTGCCCCCACGCTTGTGACTTAGAACAAGAATTCTGGGCCCAGCAGGTGGTTTGCTCCTGGGGTCCCTCGGGCAGTGACCACGGCTGTCACGGCAGGCTCAGGGGGTACAAGCCATACCGTGTGCTTGGTGCCGGCTGCTCGCTCACACTTCATCCTGATGTAGAATGGATGGCAGGTCTCACCCCCCACGTAACCTACCCCACCTGCTATCCAGGTTCAGAGGGAGGGGCTGGCCAAGGGGCGGGGCGCTCAGCGCCGAGAGCAGCTGCCTCCCTAGGCCTGTTGAAGGGGTGAGGATTCAGGTGTCTCTAGAATGTTCTGAGCACCTGTAGGCTCTGTGGGAAGGGGTGGGGGCTGGGAGGTGGTCTTTTCAGAAGTCCGTGGAGCTCTGTGGTCCTTCATCCCGGGTGGGCGGGTCATGGATGCTCCACTCAGAGCTTGCTTGGGGGCCGTTGGGCATGGTGTGGCCATGCACATCTGAGGTTTCGTCATGGCTCTTAGGAATGGTGTTGCCTCCACTGGGTCCCTGGAAGCAGACCCTGACATGAGGATTTGGGTGCCAAGGGTTTATTGAGGAGGTCGTCCCAGGCTACGTGGGGAGAGAACATGTACGTGGGGAGGAAGCTGTGGAGGGCGCTGATGCATGGGTAACCGCCACAGACGGCAGCGCTCAGGTCACTGGGACCCTCTGACATAGAGAATGCATCTCTGCATTGTCCTCCCCGAGGCTGGCTGCTTGTCCAGCATCTCCCCCAGTGTGAGCTGAGGGTTGGTCCAGGGGCCTGGTTTCCCTGTGACCAGAGAGGAGCTCAGGTGGTGTGACTCATGCCTTAAGATGGGAAGCCAGGTGCTGCACAGAAACTGTGACCCTGGGTGGGAACCATGACATCTTGGGTGAGAACTGTGGTTCCTGGATGCAAACCATGGCCTCTAGTTACCACTGTTATCCCGGTGGGAACTGTTACCCCAGGTGGGCATTGTGCCCGAGGGTTGGAAATGTGATCCCTGGTGAGAACCATGACCTCTGATGGGAACCATGACACCTGGTGGGAACTGTAACCTCTGATGAGAACTGTGACCCCAGGGTGGGAACTGTGACCTCTGGTGGCAGTTGTGACCCCTGGTGGGAACTGTGACACCTGGTGGGAACCGTGATCTCTGGTGGGAAGTGTGACCCCTGGTGGGAACCCTGACCTCTGGTGGGAACTGTGACTTCTGGTGAGAGGTGACCCCAGGGTGGGAACTGTGACCTTTGCTGGGAGCTGTGACCCTGGGTGGGCAGAGGACATGCGCCCAAGGAGCTGACAGAGTCTGCCATGTCACTGTTGGGTGACCCTGGACATCAACAATGAGTGTGGGGACCCCTGTTCCCTCCTGGGGCCTGGCCCATCACCTTGGACAGTCGCTGAGGGTCTTGGCAGGAGGGGCTCACAGGTGACCACAGCGTCCGGGAGTCTGCAGAATACAGAACAACACATCAGAGTCGGACCCGTCTCCCCTGGAGCTTGGGAGTGGTCTTGGACAGGGTGGGATGGGAGTCACGGAAGCAGACAGCTGGAGGAGATGATGAGCTGTGGGGGTGAAAGCTCTGACCCGCCTCTGGCCTGAGAGACAGAGACGCAGAGACACGGAGAGATAGAGAGAGGGAAGGAGTGTCAGAAGAATGGGTAATTGAGACAGTCACTGGGGTAACTGTATTCGTCTTGGAGAAAACAAAGCAGTGATGGTACTGGTAGAAAGTGCTAGAAGCCATGTCAGAAGCATGGGTGAAGGCTGAGGGCGCCCAGAGGAGAGGAGAATGCCCTCCAGCCCTCAGCGCAGGAAATCTTGTCTGTGGAGTGGGGTCAGTGGGCAGGATGGGCTTTCCTCCGGGCGACCCTGGGGCAGAGTGGGGCGGGGGTGTCCCCCAAGCCAACCCGAGGTGCACAAGCACGGAGCTGTTTGGGTGACAGCTCACAGCCACCTTGTCAGTGTACGTGGGGCCCATGAGAAGGGGCGGAGATGGTGCTCCACAAGAAGGCTGTGCCAGGCCTCTGGGGCCCGTGAGAAGGGGCGGAGACGGTGCTCCACAAGAAGGCTGTGCCAGGCCTCAGGGGCCAGCCTGCGAGTTCAGCAGGGAGCACTTGTCCAGCGAAGCAATAGTCGAGGCCCGGTGATTAGACCGCGTGGCGGCTCTGGCCGCATACTTGCTCATCGGTGCCTGGCGCCAGGCTGTGAGTGTCAGAGCAGGAGGCCGTCCGGCCCTCCCCGCTCCACCCTGCCGGGATGGTGACTTGCTTCTTGGATCTCAAAACTGGGTGCCCACGGGAGAAGCAGGGTCCCAGAACGTGCCACTCGAAGCTCCATCCTGACACACAAATTAGAAACATTCACAGCTAAACGTAATTTGTCTTCCTGTGTTCATCACCTGTATGAATGATATCTTCCCTTGAACATTTCAGATTTGGCAATTTTGAGAGCCAGCCAAACTGTGCACAGTGTAAGCTTCGTCCGTGCGTGGCAGGCTTGGGTAGGTTACTCAGGGCTGCAGACGTCCTCTGTGTATCCCCACATCCCCACTTGACAAGAGAGCAGACTTGGGGACCTCTGGAAGGGTTTCCTGTCTTCTGAGTCCTTCTGGCCGTGCAGGGCCTACCTCTCCAGCCTCTTGTGCCCAACTGCAGGCCAGCTCTCAGCCCCAGGCCCTCGGCACCGATGGGAAGTCCGTTTCCTAGGGACAGATGAGCTGTGACAGAAGTGATTTTCCCAGAGACCAGTGGTGTGAGATCATGGTGTCAGTGGGGTTGGTTCCTTCTGAGGCTCTGAGAGAATCCACTCCTGGCCTGTCTCCTGCTTGTGGTGGCTGCCACAGGCCTGGGCTAGCCTCCGTCCTCATGTGGGCTTTTCCCCGCAAGTGTCTGTCTGTCTGTCTCTGGTGGACCCCACTTCTTATAAGGACCCCGGTCACTGGATTTACAGCCCGCCCTAATTGGCATGATCTCATCTTTACTAATCTCATCTGCCAAGACCGTGTTTCCAAAGAAGGTCACATGCTGAGGTTCCAAGTGGATGTGAATTTGGGGAGGATGCTACTCACCCAGGACAGTGCCTCTGGAGCGGAGGGGACTGGACGAAGGCCACAGGGCCGATGCATCCAGGGCCTGCCCCCAGCCTAACCAGGCCCCACAGGCTCATGCCCAGCCTTCCTGCCTCCAGCCCTCCTCCTGGATCCTGGCAAGCTGGTCCCAGTGTGATTTCAGGCAGTGACCACCATTCTGGATGGCCCCCCGGAACATTCCAGACCCTTCTTTGCTCATAGTGGTCTTTCTCCCAAAGGCCCTTGTCAACCAGCAGCCCTGTGCACAGACCCAGGTGTTGCAAATGCCTAACTCATCTAAGCCTCCATTTGCCATCACTGTTCTAGAATGTTCTCGGTTCCAAATAGGGTGAGTCTGGGAATAGAAGGCCACAGAAGGGAGCTCGGCTATGGCTGTGGAGTTGGTGGCACCCCTGTAGGCCTGTTCACGGTGTCCGCAGAGGAGCCCTGGAGGCCGCCGGGCCGGGGCAGCAGCCTCAGCCCAGGGGACGGGTGTCTGTCTGTCCTGCCAGCCCCATCCGGGACAGCTGCGGGGCCAGGAGCTGCCTTCTCCCCTGGAGGCCCACCACACGTTAGAGTTGCGATGGGTGTTCTGCTCTCAGAGCCGCGGTGGTGGCCTCGTGTGCTGTCCCCATTTCCCACAGGGATGAGGACAGTTTCCGAGGCATGGACAGGGAGACCCGGGCTCTGTGATGCACGCCATCATTTGTGGCTGCATGGGAAGAGCAGGGTGGACATGGGGCCCCTTCAAGTCGTCAGCAAACATTTGCTGAGCACGAGCCTTATGAGGCTGCAGTCTGGGGCCCCAGGAGAGCAGGACAGAGGCTCTTACTGCCCTCAGTGGCGACACTCCAGTGGGAGGGTGGGCAACGCACACATCAGCACCAGATGCAGCTGGACCAGCAGGGACAAGGGCTGTGCCTTGCAGCATCAAGAAGGGGCACAGTGACAGGGCGTAGGGGCTGGCAGGGGGCTGGGGGCCACATCGATGGCCAAGGAGCCTTCCTGGTCAGTTGGGAGAAGGTGAGGGGGTGAGCGCTCTTGTGGATGAGGAATGCCAGTGCCCGGGTGTCAAACTAACTGTTCCCTGAGACCCCGCCGAGCTTCTGGTCTGCTGCGGTGGGCTCTCCCAAATCCTGCAAGTGCAGAGCAGTGGCCTGCTGGTAAATCAGCTCACCTGTGCGTGCGCTCACACACGCGCACACACACGCGCGCACACACGTGTATATGCATGCTCACACACGCACGCTCACACATGTACACACGCACGCACATGCTCACACATGCACACTCACTCATGTGCACACGCATGCTCACACGTGCACGCACTCGTGCTCACGTGCACACGCATGCACACACACATGCTCACACATGTACACACATGCGTGTGCACACACACTCACGCCCTCATACACATGCACACACGCGCACGTGCCTGATTTCCCTGATATAAATACTTGCGCTGTGGCCAGTTTAACAACAGGCTCACAAAATTCCTCAGCATTTAGACCCTGGCGGTGCTGGAAGGAGCCCGCACTGGCTTGTGGACAGAGAAAATGGCTTCCATCAGTCCTTCCTCCCTGCCTCCCTTCCCTGTTCAAGCTGGGGCCCTTACCAGCCACGTCTTTGTCCCTGGCAGGTGCCCGTGCCTTGTGCACCCTGTATTGTACGCCCTTTGGAGGGGCCCCAGCTCCCCCCGGCCTGGCGGGAGCATGCCCCGGGAGGACCCCTCCTCCTTCCTCAATCCCACACAAGGAGAAACTCAAGAGTCTGGCAAAGGTAGCCCTCTCTCTAGCAAAGCGGCTCTGTCCCAGTGTGTGGCGGGCTGACTGCGGGTGGTGGTGTGCCGGTCAGCCCTGGGGAGGGTTTGGAGGTGCCAGTGAGGAGCCAGGCCCAGGTGGACCCTGGGTTCCCGTGTGACTGTGCCTGGAGCTCAGGTCCCATCTGTAATGACAGGGTACTTCTCAAGACCCCATGGGGCCCCCAGGGGGGATTGGGGATAGGTGACAGGCAGGTCCTGAGCGCCGGAGCCCCTCTGCCGGACGGTCCTCATGGCAGACTCTCCCACTCCTGCCCTTGGCCCCTCACTGTTAGCTGTCCCCGGCCCTCTTGGCGCTCCTTGAGCACACCTGTGCTCTGTTCCTGGGAGGGCCCCCGCCTCAGGGAGCCCGTAGTCCCTGGGAGGTACATGGCAAACACCCCAACACCAGGACACAGTCAGAGCGAGGTCAGCACCCAGAATGGGGCAAGGGTCACGCTGGACACAGGGGAGCAGGCTGGATGGGGCGGGGGCTAGGTCTGTGCAGGGCGCAGGGAGGGGACCTGGCCCCTTGCCGCATGGGCACTGGGGGCCCAGCCCAGGCTTGGCTCAGGAGGTGCTGCGATTGTTGTTTCCATGGCGCCGGCATTATCTGCACTTGGGGTTCCAGTGGCTGCATCCCCAGTCTTAGCAGGAGCTGAAAGCAGGGCAGTGGCTCTCCTCAGCCTTGCTCCCAGAGACAGCATGGATGTGAGCTGCGCTAGGCCCCAAGGACAGCGCTGCGGCGGTCGGTCCCCTGCTCCTGCCCGCTGGTTTCTCAAACGTGCTGGGTGATCTCCCAGAATGCCTAAATCTGAGGTCCAGGTCCCAAAACCAAGTCAGCCCTGGGGACAGGCTGCAGGCGATGCCCGTGCTAGAGCAGGGTGCTCAGCCTGAGCAAATGGCCGAGGGGCCTGCCGGCAAAGACACTGGGCCTCAGGGTCCTCCATCAAACTGGAACTTTGTAGGTTCAGATGGTGGTCCGGCAGGCAGCGGGCGGGGTGGCCCAGTGGGGGTGGGGGCCTCGGTGGCTCCTGCCTGGCCACCAAGCACATGTGGCCTGTGGCTCTGGGGCGTGGGAAATGCTAGGGGCGGGGTACTTGCAGGCCTGGGGCAAAGCAGCCTCGGGCTGGAGGCCTGCTGGGGTACTTGCCCGGCCCTGGCCGGTGGATGATGGCACCACCATGCATTCGTGGCTTCGTTCCTGGTTAGAAGAACCGACATTCTGGGCGTGGTGCCTCTGGACAGCGCCGCATGCCGCTTGCTGGGGGCGGGGGCAGGGGCGGGGGGCTGTGCAGAGGACAGTGCCAGGGAGCCCGTGAGAGCAGGCCTGGAAAGCACCAGAGGCACACGGCAGGAGGAACGAGCTGTGTGCCCCGTGATGGAATCCCACAGCGAGGGGACAGCCCGTGCTGCACACAGCACACAGCACATGGGGACGGCGGGCCCGCAGGAAGCAGAGCTCGCCCGAGCCCGGGTGCCCCAGCCTTCTGGGTGCGTCTAGGACGCGTGTACGCAGAGCAGATGCGGAAAGGCCCAGAGGGGTGGGGTGGGGAGCAGGGCTGGACCGAGGGGTCGGGGTGGGCTGCGGGGTCTCCGGCTGACCCAGCGTCTGTGGGAAGGAGCCAGTGTGGGTGCCCTCAGCGCATCTGTGGGCAGCAGGGTCCACCAGACAGAGAAAAGGGGCACACAAGGCTTGTCTGCCTGGAATTGGAGCCCTGGCCCCGTCCCATCGGGGAGCTGTCTTGTCCGGGGCCAGAGGCCTCTGGGGACCCCGCCTCGCTGCCTTGGGGCACCTCTCTGGGGGCAGGTACCACATGCTGATCGCCTCTCCTCCCGCAGAGTGTTAACTGCCATGCCTGTCCTCTTTGCAGCCATCATTAACCCTAAACAGCCCAAGGAGACACCCAAAAGCTTCAGCTTCGACTACTCCTACTGGTCGCACACCTCGGTAAGCCCAGAGTTACCAGGAAGGAAGGTAACCTGGGCGGGGGCTCAGGGGGCTGGGCTGCAGCACTGCGGATGCTCCACCAGGCGCTGCGTGTGTCTCTCTAACCAGGGCCGCTGCTTGGCCAGGGGAGGGAGGGACAGGTGTGAGGCCCAGGGAAGGGGCCAGCGGTGCCTGCTCGGGGTGAGGGGTGGGGGGACTACTTTCCCAAGTCCCTTCTGTGTGAAAGGTCACCCTGAGCAGCGACATGCATTGTTAGGGTAACCCCTGGGGCCTGCCTAAAGCAGCCCTCTGTTAGGAGAGCATCCGGACACGGTGGTCTGGTCCCTGGGCTCCCCGGGCTTCCAGGCCCTGCCCTTCCAGCCTCACCTGTCCTCACTCCCAAGGCCGCCTCGATTTTGAGCATTGTGTCTCATGCTCCTGCCTCTGAGCCCTGGTGCAGGAGGTTCCCTCTGCTGAAATGCCCTTCTGCCCCGGCCGCCCCACCCGCCTGGCCAGCTCCTTCCAGTCCCTCCTTTGGGAAGCTGCACCCTGCCGAGCAGGGTTGGGTCCCCTCTGCAGGGAGTGTGAGGGGGGTGGGAGGCAGGTATCCCTCCACACTGCACTGCCCGTGACGCCTGTGAGGCCCCCAGCTGCTGGGTGGGTGCTCAGTGAACACGGCGGGCCAAGCCCTGGGGGCACCCAGCCTCCTACAGCTGTGCCACCCCCTGTCTTCCAGCCTGAGGACATCAACTATGCCTCACAGAAGCAGGTGTACCGGGACATCGGTGAGGAGATGCTGCAGCATGCCTTTGAGGGTTACAACGTGTGCATCTTCGCCTATGGGCAGACGGGGGCCGGCAAGTCCTACACCATGATGGGCAAGCAGGAGAAGGAGCAGCAGGGCATCATCCCCCAGGCACGCGGGCTGGGGGCAGGGCGGTGCGGGGCCTCGTAAGGGCCAACCAGACAGGGCTGCACTAGCCAGGACAGAAGGGCCCAACAGGGCGCCCCAGGAGAGGAGTCCCAGGGGGAAGGGAGCCCGAAGGAAGGTAACCTGGGAGGGTGGGGGGCAGGAAGAGGCTGGAGCCCAGGCCCTGTCATGGGGTGCTGGAGGGGCAGAGCCACTGGCATGGCTGACCTTGCCCTGGGAGGCTGTGAGGGCTGGTGGTCTGGGTAGGGAGAGATGCCCGGACAAGGGGCAGCCTTCGGTTAACTGAAGGCTGAGACACAGATGCCTCAGATACTGCTGGGACCCTGGCCACCACCCTGCCCAGCCCCCCTGGCCAGGCCTCTGGATCTGAGCTGGTCAGTGCTTGACCTGGCCAGGGCAGGGGAGAACACCACGTAGTCTGTAGCATGAAAGACTCCCACCCACTCCGTGCAGACAAAGATGGCACTCAGAGTGTAGGAAAGGATCAGATATCATCCGTGAGGACTCCATGACTTAAGCAGAAGACAGCTGCTCTTTGGGTGCAGGCCTTCTCAGTGCCTTTGAGATGGACTATTAGGGAGCAAGAGGGGCGCGGAGAGCCGTGTCCGGCCTGGGCTCAGGCTGCCCACAGCACCCGGGGGACGGGGCTTCAAGAACAGCCCCATCGCCCCCATTGTCTAACGCTATGTCCTTGGCCCTGCAGCTCTGTGAGGACCTGTTCTCCCGTATCAACGACACGACCAATGACAACATGTCCTACTCCGTGGAGGTAGGGCTCGCCGAGTGTCTGTGACTCCAGCACGGGGCGGGGGTGGGGTTCCAGGCATGGACAGCAATGCTTTTCTGATTTAAAGCAAGTCTCCACCACTGGTGGGTACCCCGAGCTTGTCACTCACTCATGCATGCGGCAACCATGTCAGCGTACCCACTCCAGACAGGGAGACGTGCTGGGCACAGAGGAGCGAGGGATGGTCCTCTGCTCAGCGAGTGTTTATTTAGTAGCACTCTGTGCCAGGTGCAAGGACAGGTGTCTCCGAGCTGCATAACCTGGCTCTGCCATGGCCACGGTGGCCCCAGGGTGTCCCTGCTGGACAGGACCCCAGTACGGCTGTGGGGGAGGCCAGCAGGAGGGGATGGGTTGACACCCCAGCTCATGCACTCATACAGGAGATGGGAGTCCTTGGCACGCCTCCACCTACCCAGCAGGCAGCCCCCATACCCCTATCCCAAGAGTCCCTGATGACGGCCCTACAGCCCCACCTTGGGGGAGTCCCTGCGGGTGGCCCCCATGCCTCCTGTACTCCTCACCTGGGAGCTCCTAATAGCCCTTGCAACCCCCCTCCGTCTTGGGGGTTTCTGATGAAGGCCCGCACACCTCCTATCCTGGGAGTCCTTGATGGTGACCCCCACTGCCCCCTGGCACCACACCTGGGGGGGTCCCTGATGGAATGTCTCTGCCCTGCAGGTCAGCTACATGGAGATTTACTGTGAGCGTGTCCGTGACCTCCTGAATCCCAAGAACAAGGGCAACCTGCGTGTGAGAGAGCACCCGCTGCTGGGGCCGTACGTGGAGGACCTCTCCAAGCTGGCCGTCACCTCCTACAATGACATCCAGGACCTCATGGACTCAGGGAACAAGGCCAGGTGCGTGCCGGGTGGCTCGCCCATCCTCCCCATGCCCGCTGCTGCAAACCTCTGAGGAAGGCCTGGTCCCTGGGGCACCTGTTGGCCTGCCCACCGGGTCTGTCCAAGCCCCCCCGTGGAGGGGTGGGCCCCATGGGATGAGGCCACGGAGGGCACATGCCAGCCTGAGAGGGGCCTCCAGATCCCCCACCCCATCCCTTACACAGGGGCTGCTTCTCTTGGGGGGTTGGTTTGTGCCCTGGGGGGGACTGGTTGTTGTCTGTGGTGGCTCCCCGGGGGGCCCTCCCCATGGACAGCTTCCCTGTTGGGCTCAGTGGTCAGGAGGACCAGCCTTGCCTTCTCCGAGGACGAACAGCCCTCTGGACGGGGCACAAGGTAGGGGCTTTCGGGGAAGGGCCGACCGCAAGGCACAGCCGGGCACAGGCAGTCCGTCTCCCCAGCTGCGCTGCTCGGGCGGTCACGGCAACAGTCCCCCTCTCTGCCACCCAGGGGCTCCGGGAGGGTGAGGGTCCTCCCAGCTGTTGTGACGAGGACTCTCCCTGCTGGGGGCTGTCAGACAGTGAGGTCTCTGTGTCTCAGCAGCGCTGGGACCAGCCCCGGGCCTCCCCGCAGGCTGCCTTGGGCTTTGCCCCCTCCCCAGACTGGGACAGAAGGTGGGCACCCCCCCTCCCTCCTGGGTGGGGCTTTTCCACATCACGGTCCAGGAGGACCCCCGGCCACACAGTTGAGCGGGGGCTGTCTGGGCTGCGTGGAGCCCCTGTGACAGCACCTGAGTCCGAGGCTGCAGCTGGTGGCCAGGCGGGGGTGAGCCCTGCTAATGCTGTGACAGGAGGCACGGTCACCACGTGACATGCCCCGTGACATGGCCCAGCTGGCCAGCACCATCAGCCACTCTCACGCCCGGCCACAGGATGATGGGTAACCCCGTGCGGTTTCTGCCCCCCTAGGACCGTGGCGGCCACAAACATGAATGAAACCAGCAGCCGCTCCCACGCAGTCTTCAACATCATCTTCACCCAGAAGCGCCATGATGCGGAGACCAACATCACCACAGAGAAAGTGAGTCGTGGCCTTGGCAGAAGGGGGCCGTCTGGGAGGGGGGCAGGGGGCAGTCCCATCGGGCAGGACGAGGCGGCCAGGATGACCATCGGCCTGCAAGGCGTGTGCCCACCCCCAGCCTGGCATGGGCCTCCAAGAAGTTGGCCCGGCCCGCAAGGCCACCTCTTCTCAGCGTTTGGCACCGCCGGGGCGTGGAAGGGGCTGGGAGAGGAGGGTCCGTGGACCTGGCATCTGCCTCCGTCTGCCTCCTGCCGGGAGCTGTAGACTGGGGGCTGAGGAGGGCTGTCCCCAGAGCTGCGCTGCTGCGGATGCTGGTGGCCCTTGGAGGCTGGGGGCCGCGGGCTGAGTGAGTGCCTGTCACAAAGGTGACTGTGGGCCCCGGCCGACTGGCAGGAGCGGGGGCCCGGCATCCACAAACACAAAGCTGAGGCTGTGCTGCCCGGCCACCAGCCCGCCCACGGCCCCAGCCCTGGATGCCTTTCCCACGTGCCTTGGCATCGTCGGTGGCCCCAGGAGGGCACTGTCTCCTGGGTCCTTTATCCAGACACGTAGTCTCTGTGCTCCCAGAAAGGTGGCAGGGCAGGCTCAGAGCCTCTTCCTGTCCATCGGTGGCTCTGTCCCTTGGTGTCAGGTTTCCTCCGTGTCGTCTTCCCTGACCCACAGTCCAGGCCTTCTCCTGGGGGCGCCTCAGCCACCTCCTGACAGGCAGCACTCTCTCAGGCAGCACCCCAGGGTCTGCAGGGTGTCTGGGAGAAGTTAGCCCCACTTAGTCCCCAGTCATGCCAGGGTCACCTCAGCCTGGTGCCATTCTCCCCAAGAGTCTCGACGGCCCAGTGGGGTCCGGGTGGGCAGAGAGCGCGAGCTGGAACAGGGGGGACCTCTCTGTGGGCCACCCGCTGTGACCATCCTCCTTGCTGTGGGCTCTGGGCACCACGGGGGTCTCCTGACTGTTAATGTCTGGGCAAGTCCTGTCTGCAGTGGCCACGGATTGGGAGGGCCTGGGTCTTCCCGGAATGCGTGTGAGGCAGCTGAGCCGCGGCTGGGGTGCTGGAACTGGGTTCAGATCCCACCACAGCTGATGAGCCCATCTGTGGACATAGGTGACAGGGTACCCCTGGGGAGCTCTGTGGGGAATTCTGTGCCAACACATGAAGAGCGCCCCACGTGCTGAGAACGGCACAGCGGCAGCATCAGGCGTTTTAGGGGTGAGGGGCACGCGGCCTCTTGGGGAGGTGGGCTTTGACCTTAGGCAGAGTCTCGGACGAGCTGTGAAGGGAGGGACACTGTGCAGGGTTAGAAACCGTCAGGCCCGGGGAAGGGCTTGGCCACGGCTCCTCAAGTGCGTGATTTAGGCCGTGCTGGGAGGAGGCAGGGCGCCCCCACAGGGGCCCCACGGCCTCTCCTGCATATGACACACTTGCCATTTCAGGTGAGCAAAATCAGCCTGGTGGACCTGGCCGGGAGTGAGCGGGCCGACTCCACAGGAGCCAAGGGCACACGTCTCAAGGTAGGGGCCAGACTGCCATGTCTGTGATCCTGGGCCTCGCTCATCTGGTGGAGTGCATCTCTGAGCCGGGCTCACTCCAGGGTGGGCTGGGCAGGAGGGCGCCTCTTGGGGCTGCAGGTGGGGCCACCCACACCCAGGGCGAGCTCGGGCAGGGAGAGCAGGGGGCACAGGAGGAGGTGGGAGGAGGCCGGTAGCCAGAAGGCAGCGCCTGGCACACTGGCTAGGGGTTAACAAGGACAGAGACCCTGGCAGGAAAGCTGGGCCTTTCACAGGCCCTCGCAGTAACTTGGCCACTGGTGTGTGGCTTTCGTGCCAGAGCACAGGCTGCGAGGCAGACAGTTCTGGTCAAAGCAGTCTTCGGCGTCAGGAAGGAGGGTTTTCACGTTCCAGCCCCACTTTGGTCCCCACATTACCCAGTGGGTGGGAAGGGGCTCTGGAAATTGTACCGGCGGGGCCCTGGGGCATGTGTGAGATGTTACGAAGACTCCCAGGGAGCCTAGGAGAAGCTGGGCCAACTGTACTCCCCCGGCCGGGGTGGGCCTCTGCCTGGTTTCTTGCCAGAGCCTCCCGTGCACCAAGGAACCCCGGGATTGACGGTCAGGGATTGGCGGCCTTCACCCCGTGTCACACGGGGTGAGGTCCCAGGGGATCACGAGGCTTTCTGATGTCCTGACTGTCTTCTCTGCACAGGAGGGAGCCAACATCAATAAGTCCTTGACCACGCTGGGGAAGGTCATCTCTGCTCTGGCCGAAATGGTGAGCTAGCTTTGGGTGTCTAGAACTAGACTGATGGGGTGGATTGCAGAAGTGGCTCCCCGTCCTTCCTTCTGGGAGGACACCGGGAGCCTGTCATAACTGTGCCAGGCGCTGTCTCTATCAAGGTGCCTGGGGTTCAAGGGAAAGCCCAGAGATGTGAAGGGTGTGTGTACCTAGGCTACAGATGGAGTAGCGATCCCTGTCACTCCCTGGAACCTCAGTTTCCCCGCTGGTATTGGCCATTCACCAATACACCCAGGCCTTTGCCCAGAGAAGGATGAATTTTAGGAGGCCCTACCCTTTTCTTAAATTGTTTGGGGTGAGGGAAGAGCTGCTGGGTGATAGCAGCCTGAGGGGTCGCACTGTTGTTTGGCCTGTCAGGATCAAGGTGGCCAGCAATGACCAGGTGGGAAGTGGTGGACCCCTGGCACGTGCTCAGGCCTCTCCTGTTCCCTTGTTCTCTGGAGCCCGCTGATCCTGCCCTCCCCACATACCCTGGGTCCCCAGCCTCCAGGTCCTCAGATTCTGTCTTTTCTTTTCCAGGACTCGGGGCCCAATAAGGTAAGCTGCTTTCTTCCGTTCTAGGGGGAGGAGTCTTCAGCCATGGCATTGGAGGGCTAGAAGCAAGGAGTGCCTTTAGCCCCAGTTGTTCTGTGAAGGGCTTGGCAGTAAAATTACCCTTTCATTTGTGCACCTAGCAGACAAACACATTGAGCCCAACTCTGAGCTGGGCCCTGTATTAGAACAACATAGCCCTTCAGGGGCCACAGCATGATGGGGGACATAGTAGACATAGAAACAGAATCATGAATTCGTATAAATCTCATAAAGGAAAAAAATGGGCTGTGAGCATGACCCATACACAAGATAGCCTTTAGTCAGTATGGCCCTGGAAACTTTACAGGACAGGTAGCTTTAGGGCTGAGACCTGAGGAGCGGGGAGGAGCCAGTCAGGCAGAGGGGTACACACCTGTGGTGCTAAAGTGGACAAATGTTGATTTATGTGAGGAATTGCGGGGGCAGAAATGTGAGGAACTATGTGGGGAAGCATGAGGAACAACGTAAGGAAATGAGAGGAAGTGTGTGATCAACTATGTGGGGAACTGTGTGAGGAAATGTGTTGGGAACTGTGAGGAAACATGGGAAGAACTAAGCGAGGATCTGAGAGGAACTGTAGGAACAGTGTGAGTATCTGTAAGGAACTATGTGAATGATTTTGTGAGGGACTATATGGGAAGTGTGTGTGGAATTGTGAACAGTGTGAGGAATTATGAAGTATTGTGTAAGAAACTGTGAAAACTGAGGAACTGTGAGAGGAAGTATCTGAAATGGTGTAGGGCAAGTGTGGGAATTCTATGAGGAATTGTAGAGAACTGTGTGGGCAACTGTGAAATACTGTGCATAGGACTGTCTAAGGAACTATGTGAGGAAGTGTGAGAAATGGGTAAAATGCACAAGGAACTGTAACAGACTGTATTGTGGACTATAGAAAATTGCAATTGTGTATGGCACTCTGAAGAATTGTAACTGTGACAAAGTGCATGTGAAACTGAAGAATTACGAGTAAATGTGTGGACTGAACGAGAAACTGTGGAGAATGGTATGGGGAGCTAAATGGATAACTGAGGAAACCAAGGAACTATGTGGGAACTGTGAGGAACCATGTGAAGACTATGTGAGGAACTCTGAGGAAATGTGAGAGGTAGTGTATGAAATGGTATGGGAATTGTGTGTGGGAACTCTGAGGAACTGTGGAACGGTGTGGGGAACTAGGCAGGAACTGTGTGAAGAGCTGTGAGGAATGTGACAGTGTGGGGAATAGTTGGAATGGCGTGGGAAAATATGTGGGAATTGTGTGGAGGGAGAACCTTGAGGAACTGTGTGTGGACATTGAGCAACAGTGAGTGACTATGTGAGGAGCTGTGTGGGGAACTGTTTAGGGCAAGTGTGAGGTACTAGTATGGGGAACTCTGCAAGAAGTCTGGAATTGTGTCAAGTATTGTGAGGAACTGTGTGGAATGTGTGAGGAACCACACTGAAATGGGAGAGGAAGTATGTGAAATGGTGTGGGGAACTGTGTCTGTGAACTTGGAGGAGTTCTATGTGGGACTGTGTGAAAAACTGGTGACTTATGAGAGGAATTGTGTGAGGAATTGTGAGGGATTATGTGGGGGAGTGTGTAGAGGGAACTGTGCGGAATTATATGAGGAATTCTGCAAGGAGCCTGTGGGGACTGTGAGGAACTATGAGAGAAACTGTGTGAAAAACTGAGGGACTGGGAAGAACTGTGTGAAGTAATGTGTCAAGAACTGTGAGAAAATGAGAGGAACTCTTTGAGGACCTGTAAAGGAACTGTGTGGGAACAGTATGAGGCAACTTTCCATGGAAGTGTGTGAGGAAGTGTGTAGGGAACTGTGTAAGGGACTGTGTGGAACTGCGAGAGGAAGAGTGTGGAACTGTGTGAGGGAACTGTGGTGAGCTGTATGGGACTGTGAGGAACTGGGTGGGAACCTATACAGGAAGAATGTGGGGAACTGTTTGAGGAACTGTGAGAAATAGTTTGAGGAAATACATGAGAAACTGCATGATTCTGAGGATTTCCATGAAGAATTGTGAGGAACTGTGGGAGGAACTATGTGAGGAGTTATGAGAGGAACTGTGTGTAAGTAATGAATCGTGAGGCACTTCACCTCACTGTAAGAAGTGTGTGAAACTGTGTGGGCAGACTGTGGGAATTGTGTGAGTGACTTTTGAGGAAATTTTTGGAGAACTGTGAGGAACTCTGGAATGATGGGGGGAACTTTGTGGGGAAGTATGAGGAACTGGGTAGAACTGTGTGAGGGAACTGTGAGGAAGTGAGAGAAACTGTGAAAACTATGTGTAGAACTGTGTGGGGAGCTGTGTGAATTGTGAGGAAACGTACGTATGAACTCTGCGAGAAACTGTGTGGAACCGTGAGAGGAAGTATGTGAAATGGTGTGGGGAAGTATCGGGGCTGTGAGGGAACTGTATGGAAAACTATGTGAGGGACAATGCGCAGTCCCTCACACAGTTCTCTTCAGTTAATTACAGAGTTCCCCACGTAGTCTCAATGCAGTTCTTCACACTGTTCCTGGCACAATTATACACACACACTTCCCACATAGTGGGAAAAGGAATGTGAGAAACTGTGAGAAACTTTCTGGGGAAATGCATGCAGAACTGTGTAATGGACTATGTCAGGGATTTGTGTGGAGAAGTGTAAGAAACTTTGAAGGAATCTGTATGAAAGTGTGTGGGAAATTGTGTAGGATCTGTGTGAAAAGTGGGTGTGTGGAACTGTATGTGGCGCTGTGTGGACTGTTGGGAACTGTGAGGAACGGTATGAACTATGAGAAACTGTGTGGAACTGGGTGAGAAACTGAAGAATTGTGAGGAACTGTATGTGTACTTTGTGGAACTGTGAGAGGAAGAAATTGTGTGGGGAGCTGTGTGAGGAACTATGAGAGGATCTGAGATGAAAACTTTGTAAGGTACCAGGTGAATTCTGTGGAGGATGTGAGGAATTATGAGGAACTGTAAGGAAATAGATGTAGACTGTATGAAGAATCGTGAGGAACTCTGTGTGCACTGTGTAAGGAAACATGTGGAATGGTGTGGGGGAACTAAGTGAGTAACTATGTGAGGAAACTGAGGAACTGTGAAGAATTGTGTGAAGAACCATTTGAGGAACAGTGTGGGAAGTAGGCATGGAACTGTGTTAGGGGTGGTGTGAAGCATTATGTCAGGAACTGAGAGAAATTGTGTGAGGATCTGAGAGGAACTATATGAGGAACTGTGTAAGGAACTGTGAGAAGAGCTGTTTGAGAAACTGTATGTGGAACTGTGTATAGAGTTGTGTGGTACTGTGTGTGGAATTGGAAGAATTGTGAGGAACTGTGTGAGGAATTGTGTAAAGCCTGTGTGAGGAAATGTGGGGGAAGTGTGAGAAACTAGATGAGAAACTGAGGAACGGTTGGGAACTGTGTGAATTGTGAGAAACTACGTGGAACTGTGAGAGGAAGAATGCAAAATGGTGTGGGGACTGTGAAAGTGCTGAGGACGTTTTCGGGAATTGTGAGGGACTATGTGGAATTATGGGCGGAAGTGTGAGGAGCTGCATCGGGACTGTGTAGGGAACTCTTTAAAAAGCAGAATTGTGTGAGGGATTGTGGGGGGAACTATGTTAGGAGCTGTGAGAAGCTCTTTGGGGAAATGTGTGAAGAACTGTGAAGGAATATGCCAGGGACTGTAAGGAATTGTGTGGAACTATGTGAGGAACTCTGTAGAGATCTGTGTGAGGAGCTAGGTGGAACTATGTAAAGAACTATATAAGGAACTGTGAGAGAGGAACTGTGTCATGAACTGCGGGATGCATTGTGTGACATATTGTGCATAGTTGTGTGGTGGACCTGGAACTGTGCAGGGTGCTGTGGGGAACTGAGTGAGGGAGTGAGTAAGGGACTATGAGGGAATATGTGAGGCATTATGGGAACTGTGTGAAGTGGGGGGTTTGCAATAGAAACTTTTTCAGAAATGGAGTGAGAAAGTTTTTGAGGATCAGGGTCTGGAGGAGGGAGCGTGGAGGCATGTAGATGATGAGGCCAGAGAAGGGCAGGGGCCTGATCCGAGGTCTTTAGTCTGTTGTCAGGAACTAGCTGATTGTGGTTTAATGGGGAGCAGTGGATGGGTTTTCAGCAGGGCTCAGGCTGCTGCATGAAGAATAGGTGGGGAACGGCATGGCCTGGTGTGGCAGTCAGGAGACTGGAAGTCGGTGGCGCAAAAATCCAGGTGTGAGATGATGGAGGCTGGGAAGACAGAGGAGAAGGGAGAGCGGCGGGTAGTTCTGGGAGCTGCAGGAGCATGACTGAACAGCGGCTGCTGCTGCATGGAATGGACAGTGGTGATGGAGTGACAGAACTGAAGGTGACTCCTGGTCCTTGCAGAAAGGACTGCGTGATCGTAGGACATTTACTGTGGAAATGAGGAATATGACAAATGTGGCAGAGGATTCAGCCTCAGGAATTAAGTAATCAAAAAGCAAAGTAGAAATACAGATTTCATCCACCAAGTCTCAACAGATTAAAAAAGGCCTTCAGTACTGAGGAGCTGCTAGGAGATGGACACTCAAGCCTCGCCTACAGCAAAGCCGGCACAGCATTTTGGAAAGCCATTCTGACCTCGTGTCTCAAGAGTTTTCACAAGTTATGTTCTCTGAGAGCTAGTGGAGCTCCTCTTGGAAACCATCCTGAAGAACAATGACAGATGAGCTTGTACCCAGAGAAACGGCCCAGCCCTTGTGGTAGCGCCTGTGTGCGTCTCCCTGGGTGGGGAGTCTGGGCGGCAGGCGCCACATCTGCTGGCCACTGCAGGTGCTCAACAAATACTTTTAAGCAACTCGATACATGAACTAGGAGACACTGGAAAGTAACTGAATATCCATGACTAGTGGACTCCTTCAGTCAGTCCATAAGTCGTGTCCATAAGAAGCAATGATTCCTAGCAGCCATTACATGGGCCTGAGTCCACATTCTGAATGACCTGCGTTCACTTTAATAGAGGAATAAAGAGTCACAGGAGTAGCTAGGAATGTGGAGGATGCTTCGTCCTGAGGGGAGCTGGGGGAGCAGGTTCTAAAGAAGGGGCTTGTGCCTGGACTGCAGGGGAGGAAAGGTGAGTTCCATGCGGAGAGAGAGAGGTGAGCGGATGGGCACTGGCAGAGGCTGGAATGCTGCATAAAATGGTGGGGCCTTTTCTTTTTAGTCAGCAGAACTGACAGTACTGCTTGAGGAGGGGGCGATGGGCTCAGATTGGTCCTTCTGACAGAGTGGAGAGAGGACATCGGCTCTGTCCGGCTGCGTGGCCCAGATGCGCGACGGGATGGACTAGGGAGGAACCTGAGGGGATGTGACAGCAAGTCTGGTTCTGGCCCTGAGTGCGGGCACCTGGGGGTAGCACCCTAGGGGTCAGGTGGGGAGAGGCCTTGAGAACTGGCCCAGCCCTGCCCTCCACAGCAGCCTTTGGCTTTGGGGACCCACCCCACAGACCCTGTGCTTTGCCCCCTCCATCTCCCTTCCCCTCCAATGGGCACAGGGTTGACCTTGAATGTTCTTCCCTCACAGAACAAGAAAAAGAAGAAGACAGATTTCATTCCATACAGAGATTCCGTGCTGACCTGGCTCCTCCGAGAAAATCTGGGTGAGGACTCTCGGGTTCACTTACCCCTAGGGTTCTAACTTCCACCCTGAGCCATTGTCCTGCCTTACCTCCTGGGAGGGGGTGTCCAACCGCCAGGAGGCCTCTCACCCTTTCTGGGCCGAGGCTGAGGCAAACCTGAGGGATCCTTCTGGAGGCCAGCAAAGGGCTAAGGAGAGCAAGTACAGGGAAGCAGGATGGCCCATAGGGCCACAGAACACACACACCTATGTCGGGGCTCCTGCTTCAAGCCCGTGACATCCACACCAAGTACCACCCTTTGCTGGGACTCCAGATTCCGGGGAACCTTGCTTGCTTGCTGGGCTTTTGGTAGGTGCCATCTGTCACCCCTTCTCCTTGAGTTCTGAGCCCCTAAGACACAGAGAGAGAGATAGAGACTGAAGTGTCCCAATACTGATCCCTTTCCTCCCAAAAATAACCTCAGGGGTCCTCCCTGGCTATGTTCACAGTTTGGGAGGCTGATGCCCAGGAAGGTAAACTGAGTCTTGGGCTGACCCAATGAACATAGGCAGCTGGGACCTACAGACTTCCTTAGCTTCGTGGCTACAGTGTAGGAGCCCCTGCTGGCCGACCCGGCACCCCAGAACCAGCCTGGCTGATCCTCCGCTTGAGCTGGTGACGGGTACCACATCAGGCCTCCTGGGGGCTCCTGGAGGGTGGCACCCCTGAGAGTGGGTGGTAGTGTCCTAGGAATGTGTTCCTTCACCTGGGACGTGGACCGGAAGGAGGCCTCTGCCACAGGGCCACGCCCAGGCCCAGAGCCCAGCTCCAGGATAGGGGCAGGGGGAACCCCCCATGCAGCCCAACCTGGCACCCGGCGTGGCACCGCACCCCAAGCCCCTCTTCACCCTGCCACCTCAGTTCGTGTGGGGGTCATGTTCCTGAGGGCTGCCCGGGCTGCTGACCTGCCCGCACCCCCTGCCCAGTGCTCACTGTGTTCTGAGCCTTTGAGGGCTCCGTTGGCCTCGGAGCTGAAGCCCAACCATCGATTTCCTCACGCGGTGTGCTACCTGACGCCAGGCTCTGCGCCATCCTGGGCCAGGACTCTGGACATGAGATATTAAGAAAAATATTCCAAAAGAGAAAGATAAAAATGAAAGAAATCATTGCATCTTGAATTGAAATGAATGTTGAGTTTCTAAAGAAATTATCCTGACCCTTGTAGTAAATGCTGTAAAATCCGCCACAGCTCCCCCCCACTTGGTTATGGGGAGGGGGCCTGGCTATTGTAAAACAGCCCCAAATGTGAGAAAAGCACGCTATAGAAGAAAAGTGACTGAGCTGCCCACTGCAGTGGTGAAGGCCAGACCCCCCTGTTCATGCAGTGGCCCGTGACTCGGTTTACCTGTCTGGGCCTCGGCCTCCCCAGCAGCAGAGATAGGAGGGGATGGGGGAGAGAGGAGCCCCCATGACCCGGCTGTCTTCCCACAGGTGGGAACTCGAGGACGGCGATGGTGGCGGCCCTGAGCCCTGCAGACATCAACTACGACGAGACTCTGAGCACGCTGAGGTGTGTTCTCGAGCGAGGCAGCCTCCGCCCCCTGCCTGGCTCCCGGAGGGCGTGGATCCCTCTCTATCCGAGTCAGGAGCACCACTTTGGGGGAGGTCATCTCATCTGGGGCTCCTTGAGGCTCCAAGTGGCTGTTGGGGGCACCTGGGTCTTCACGGGCCCGTTCCATTCCCACCACCCATGGGACTCCGAGCGGCCCAGGACCCCTGTGCTACCAAACCAGGTCTTTAATGAGCAAAGGGGCATGGGTGTGTGCCACAGGTCCCTGTGGCTGCAGGGCGGGCAGCCTGAGTGGGCAGCCTGGGTGCTGGCCTTGAAGGAGGTTGCTTGGCTGCCCGGGTCACACGCCACCAATGGTAAAAGGAAAAATTGGTGTGGGTCCTGATATAGGTACGTGCTCACACACCCATGACACTTAAGTATGCAGGCTAAATACGCACGCATGCGGGCATCCTCACATTCCTCCAGCGGTCAGACTTGCTCCCTCCAACCCGGGGACCACAGGTCCAGGTGCGAAAGCCCCACCACGGGGAGAGGTACCACCCCATCCCTGCTCCTCCTGGGGCCTCGGTCCCCCCAAATAGGGGAGCAGAGCTAGGTGACCCTACCTGTAGCTCTCTGGCCGGTGGCCCCACTGACTCCAAGGGAGGTGACCCCCTGCTCTGTGTCCAGCCCCTGGGTCCCAGCTGCCGAGGCCCTCCCCACCACGGCTCTGCCCCGGGTGGGGCCCTGGGCCCCTTTGGGCCGGCCGGCCACGAGCACAGACCACAGCTCCCTTGGCTGTCCAGGTATGCTGACCGAGCCAAACAGATCCGCTGTAACGCCGTCATCAATGAGGACCCGAACAACAAGCTAATCCGTGAGCTGAAGGACGAGGTGACCCGGCTGCGGGACCTGCTGTACGCCCAGGGTCTCGGGGACATCACCGATAGTGAGTGTCTGTGCCGCCTGTCCTGGGCAGGGCGGCCTGGGTGGCTGGGGCTGGCCAGGCTGCCCGCACGGCCCTGACCTGAATCCAAGCCCTGCTCTGAGTCCCTGGGCGAGCCACCTCGGGGGGAGGCTGTGGTTTCTGGCCTCGGCCGGGGTGGATGGACTGCATGGTTTGGGTTTGGTGCTGGCCCAAGCAGGCCGCAGATGGTTTCCCTGGAAGCCACATCGGCGTGCTGTGGGTGCTGGGGTTGCAGCGGTCCCCGAGTGTCCGCTGAAGACCCCCACCCCCCAGCCTGGTGCCCGGCCTGCGATGGGCGGACCTCAGACCCTCTGGAGACAAACCTGTTCTTCTGTTTCTCTGTCTCTCCTCCCTCCCCCACGCCTCCCCTCCCCTTAGCCAACACTGTGCCCGGAGGACCCAAATGTGTGTATCCCCTTTGCTGCTCTCTGCTTCCCTGCTTCTGTCCCTGCTCCGCGGGGTATAGGGCAGCACGGCAGGGAGGCGCCGGCCCAGCCCTCCTCTGCCTTCCCCCCTTTCAGGGGCTGGGGACAGCAGCTCTCTTGCTCACAGGCACCGTCCTGGTAGATGCAGGGCCCACCACCTGGTGCGCCTATGTTCCTCGCTCAGCCCATGTCTGTATGGGAAACTGAGGCCCCAGGGAGGCCTGGTGCAGCCAAGGCCTTCTCAGGCTGGAAGTGGCTGAGCTCGGCCTGTCTGAGCACTCTGTACTCCCAGAGGCCTGGGAAGCTCAGAATGGTAGCTAGCACCAGAGGGCGGGGAGGGCCGGAGGGCCTGAGGAGCCGGGTCTGCCTCCTGGCTCCCAGCTCCGGCCTCCCCCCGGCCCCCCACGCCCCGAAGCCCTTTCCTCTGGAAATGCTGAGTGAGAACGCTAGGCCAGAGCCCCCCAGCCTGTCTCCTTCTGGCCTTGGGCCTGTGGCTTGGTGCCTCCCTGACCCAGGGCCGCAGGGCACCCTGGTTCTCCCTCGCGCCCCGTGCTGTCCTATGTTTGCTGCTGCTCTGCTGCGTGTCTGCTTCTGCCAGGAGGGGTCTGGGCACCTCCCCCGCCAGGAGGCGTCCTAGCCCCAAGTCCCAGGCCTCAGGGGGCGTGGAGCCCTGGGGCGGCCCAGAGCAGGCTCTTCAGGGTGGAGGAGCAGGGGCTCTCTCGGGGGTCCCACGGCTCACCTCTCCTCCAAGGTGCTCTTGGGGCCGAGTCCTGTGCTCAGTGGGGCTGGACAGTTAGAGCAGCATGGTCTCTGCAGCTCGGGGGCACGTGGCTGGCCAGGCGGGGCACGGGTACGGTGGGGGGGCGGAGGGGGGCGCCCATGGCAGAGAGGGCGAGGCCGGGTGTCAGGGCTCTGGGTGCAGGAAGGCCACAGGGCAGTGACAGCAAAGGCCAGGAGACAGGGTGGGGGTGGGGAGACTGCCAGGCAGCCTGGGAGCGGGTGTGGGGGAAGCAGGAAGGCCGCAGGCCCAGGCAGGGTGGGGAGGGTAGAGAGGAGCTCGAGGGGGTGCCCTGCTGCTGCCGGGGTGCTGGGGGAGGGCTCTGGGGACTGGGTTCCCCGGCGGGCAGGTGGCAGGCAGCCTTGCATGTGCTTGTCCGGCGCTGGGCCCCAGGCTGCACCTGCTGGGGGCTTCCGTTTCCCGCCTCTCTTCACCCATGTCTTGCTTTTTCCCAACTTGGTCTTTCTTTTCTCTCCCTCCCGTCTGTCTGCCTGCCCTCCCCTTCCCTTCCTCCCGTAGACGTTTCCGACCTTGAGAACAATAACCGTAACCGTGGCAGGGCAGAGTTGAGTCCAGCCCCTGACAATCTCTCCACAGTGACCAACGCCCTGGTGGGCGTGAGCCCCTCGTCCTCGCTCTCGGCCCTGTCCAGCCGTGCCGCCTCCGTGTCCAGCCTGCACGAGCGCATCTTGTTTGCCCCGGGCAGTGAGGAGGCCATCGAGAGGCTGAAGGTGAGGGTGCCGCCGGCGGGGGACAGCGCCCCCCCCCGCACAGAGGCCTCCCCTCCTGGAAGGGGTGTCCTGACAGCACGGGGTGGGCTTGCTTGGAGGCGGAGCCAGCAGGTCTGGGCCCCGCCCGCGGGCACCCCCTCCACTGCCCAGCACCGAGGGCTCCCCACATGCTGAGCAGGGCAGGCAGGGGTCCCGGGGGCTTCTGCGCTCCTGCCCAGGTGTTCCGCGCTCACACCTGTGACCCCACGGTGGGCCAGCTGGGTTTTAGGTTGTGGGCTCAGCGTTCCTCTAGGGAGTGACTGTGGGGTGCTGGGCTGTGCAGGGTGGGGGTGACTTAGCAGACAAACGCACGGAGGCTGGACCGAGGCTGGGGTGGGGCACTGGGTGGGTGGGTGACCCTGGGGTGTAGGGCCCACTGGGGTGTGGGACTGGGAAGGAAGCCAGGAGCTGGTGCTGACGTTGGAAGTGCTTGTTGTCTGTGTCCCGGCAGTGGCCAAGGGACGTAGGTGCCTCAGAACCAGTCTCCGTGTCCCGCGTGTCTCTCAGTGTCCCCAAGTATCTCTTAGTACCTCTGCGTGTCTCTAGTGTCCCCATGTGTCTCTTCGTGTCCCACGTGTCTCTCCATGTCCCGCGTGTGTCCCAGTGTCCCGCATGTCTCTCAGCGTCCCCACGTGTCTCCCCGTGTCCCACACGTCTCTCAGTGTCCTCGTATGTCCATGTTTCTCTTCCTCCAGGTTTATTTTGCCTTTTCCTTTACTGTCTGGCTGTGTCCACAGGAGACACTTCTGTCCGTGGACACGTTAACCCCTTAGCCCTTCACCTGGACCTTTCGGGCATTGTGCTGTCTAGACAGACCTGGCTGCTCATCTGCCCTTTGCCTGGCAGCCTGGCCTCTGTCTGCTCCCGCCGCAGACCCCCAACCTCACTCTCCTCTGTCTCGCTGCCCAGGAGACGGAGAAGATCATCGCTGAGCTCAACGAGACATGGGAGGAGAAGCTGCGGCGGACGGAAGCCATCCGGATGGAGAGGTGGCCAGTGGGGAAACTGAGGACTCCAGCAGCCCAGCCCTGGGCCCCTGGGGGTGGCCGTGCCCTAGCATGGGACGGGCTTATCTCCTCTCACCAGGGACTCCCCGCCCCACCCCACCCCATCGCCGATGGCCCCATTGACCTGATCTCTGATCAGGTGACAGGTCTCTCTAAGCGGATCACTGACTGGAAGGGGCGCCACCTGGGCACTGCCCTTGGGCCGTGTGGCCAGATCCCCTCTGGCTCCTGCTTGGCCGATGGGCCGGTTAGGGGTGAGGCAGGTCCTGTGGCCTCGAGGCTCAAGCTGACCCGGACACTGTCCTTCCAGGGAAGCCCTACTGGCCGAGATGGGTGTGGCCATGAGGGAGGATGGCGGCACACTGGGGGTGTTTTCTCCCAAAAAGGTAGGTGCTGGTTCTAGTTCTGGGGTATGGCCCTGACTCAGACTGGCCTGGGTGGCTCACAGCCCTTTGTGGGGTGTCAGCTCCTCTAGGAGGCCAAAGGGATCCTCCTAGGCTGAGAGGGGGCAGGTGTAGGCCCCAGGGGCCATGCTCGCCCACAGCCAGACCTTCCTGTGTGGGAGACTCGGCCTGGCCTCCCCACAGTGGGATGTCCCCGTGGCCTTAGGACACCCAGATGGCTCACTCTGCCTGAGGAACGGACTGGGATCCTCGAAGTGGAGGCAAGACTGGGGGGCGTGGACCCACCAGAGCCTGTGCTGGCCATGGGCAGGGCCTGGCTGGACATGAAACTGGGAGAGAGACACTGCCCTCTTGGAGCTTAGCCAAAGTTGGGTCTGGCTGTCCCAGCTGGGACTCTTCTCCTACCCCAGGCTGGCTCGCTCTCCAGACCTGGCCCTGTCAGCTGGGGGGCCTCACATGGAGCAGAGCACCACCCCCCTTTGATAGCTCAGATGGGGTGTAGCATGAGCATTTGGGGAAAATTCTCTCTGAGAATTCTAGGACCCAGGACCCCCCTTCACCCCAAAGAGTGCCAGACCCTTAGAGCTCTTAGGAGCCAAGTTCCAAGCCAGGAAGCCTCCAAGGAGGTGTCTGCTCTGACCACAGCTCGGGGTCTCCAGGCTCTGCCTCTGACAGTTGGTCAGTGAGGAAGCGCCCGCCCGTCTTCCCTAGAGCAACTTCCTTGTGGCTGGCTTTTCATCTTGGCCTTGTTTGAGACAAAGGGTTTCTGTGTTGCCAGCACCTGAAGCCAGAGGCACGTGGAGCACCCTCCGTGCTGCTGGGGACCCCATGGGAAGGGGAGTGCACATGCTGGGTGATGCAGTCATCATCCGGGGGCCACTCCCTGGGCACAGGGCCAGGCTCTTCGGGCTTCTTCTGCCCCATGCACTCCAGGCCAGGAGAGCAGGGTGGGCTAAGGCCCAGAGGCAGGAGGGAGGGAGGGGTGCTTGGGAGGACGTGTGCGCAGGCTCTGCACTTGGGGCAGGCTGCGGAGCAGGTGGTACGCTTCTTCATATCCCTTCTGGATAGGCTTTAGTTTCAATTTGGAATGGATTGCTCCTGGGCTCTCAGTCCCTGGCCCTTACTGGGGGGGGGCGCACCCCAGGGCTAGTGTACAGAGCTGTGGGGGCAGGTGGCCTCGGGACACTTGCACCCTGGAGGCCTGTGGTTGGTGGCAGAGAGAATACTTGATGGCCCCAGTCTGGACACTGCCCTGGGGACCTCTGAGGATACCTCCTCCTGAGAGGGTGGCATTCCTGGGACTCTGGTGAGCACAGCTCTCCTTGCTTGGGAAAAGGGGTGGCTGGGGATGGTTGTCCCCAGTGTCCGATGACCAGGACTTCACAGTCCTGCACAGAGTTGTGGTGGGGTCTGGGGGACTTGGAGCTTGGTGTGGAGGCTGCTTGTTCCGAGGTGCCCAGCAGGAAGCCAAGAAAGCTGTCCCAGCCTCCACCGGGTTGCAGGACCCCAGCCTGGGACACAGTGTGGGGTGGCGTTCCTGAGCTCAGGAAGCGTGTCTAGGGCCCCAGTGGGTGGAGCCTGCGGGTGTTGCCCTGGGAAGGGTGGTCACCTTCGGTACGCCCGCGGACGGGAGGGGCCCGAGTTGGGGGGCCTAGCAGGGACTACTTTCACACCCTCTGCTCCACAGCCCCCAGGCCAGCTCCCTCCCCAGTCAGTACCCTAATCCTTCTGCACTTGCAGGTCCACTGGGGCCCTCAGCTCCTGGGTGCTTCAGTTGGAATGGGGTCCTGTAGCCCCTTTTAGGGTGGAGGAACGGACCCAGAGCCAGGTGCCCTGGTCCCTGCGGGACCCAGCCTGCACCCTGCATATCCAAGGGCCCACCACAGCCCCCAGGACCTCCCTGGGCTCCCAGCTCCTCTGGAAGCCCAGCTCCCCCTAAGCGCCTCCCCCTTAGGTTCTGAGCTCCCTGGGCTCCTCCTCAGGGAAGCCAGGCTGGGAGGACACTGCGTCCTCATGAGGCCAAACCTAGGGCTGGTGGTGGTGGTCTGGCATCTGAGGAGAGAAAGGTCAGGTGGGTGGCCAGTGCTGGGCCCCTGCGCCTCCCCAGCAGAGGTGACCCTCCTCTCTCCCCAGACGCCACATCTTGTCAACCTGAACGAGGACCCACTGATGTCCGAGTGCCTCCTGTACTACATCAAGGATGGGATCACCAGGTGGGGGTTACGGGGGGTGGTAGGCTCCCCCTGCAGAGGGGCTGCCGAACCTGGCATCTGCTGGAACCCTGCTGTCTGCCCGTGCTTGTTGCTGGACACAAGGCTGAAGGCCACTCTGTGCTATGTGGCTCTCCCAGGCTGGGCTACACTTAGGGCATCCCCTGCAGCCCCACTCGTGCACCCTGGGTGTTTCCCTATGGAGCCCAGCTGGGCATCCTTGTGGGGGGCGGGGGGATGGGGTTGGGCCAGTGGGTGGCGGCCTGAATGCACTGGGTCCAGCCCCTGCTGACGGTCCCCACCCCTCCTCCTCAGAGTGGGCCGGGAGGATGGGGAGAGGCGGCAGGACATCGTCCTGAGCGGGCACTTCATCAAGGAGGAGCACTGCGTCTTCCGGAGCGACTCCCGAGGGGGCAGTGAAGGTATCTCTGCCCTTCAGCCCTGCCTTGCTCCTGTGCTACTGACTGCCAGGCTCGGCCCAGGCTCCCTAGTCAGTCCTGGGGAAGTACCTCCATTGGAATGAGGCTTTGAGTGCTGGGATGTGGACACGGGAGCTCTCTCCCTGTGCCAGGAGCGGGCTGGGGGTCTTCCTGGGCAGGGGGATAGTAAGCTGTGAGGAATGAGCCTTGATCTAGGGTGGAGAGCTATTTTTAGAGCACACTTTCCTGTTGGCCTTGGAGCAGTCATCTGTCCATTACGCAGCCTGCCTGCACGCCTCTGTCCCCGTTGCCCGTCTGGGACGTAGCCCTCTCGGGAGACACCTGCCGTATCCCCGGGCCATCACAGTGCCCACAGCCCCCCCAGTGCCAGGCATGCTCCCTGGCAAGCGTCTGGCCTGCAGCCCACTGTGACTGGGACACTTCAGGGTCATGGCCTTAAATAGCGTTGGGGATGTTGGCTCTCCCGGAATTCTTTCCCCAAAGCCTGCCCTCCTCTGGGTGGGTGGGCTCTAAGCTCTGGAGGGCTCTGGGACTCCTGGGGACATGCCAGCCACTGTTTCCCATCCGTGCCCACTGGAGACCCTGACAGCTCTCCTGGTTTTCTGACTTGGGCACATGTGCCTCTCCATTGGGCGTCACCTTCCTCACCCGCTGTGTGAGGTGCAGCCCTCCTCTGGGGCCCAAAAGAGGTATTGTGTGCTGGCAGTCAGCCTTTGCAGCTAGCAGGGAGGAGAGAGGCCTGGTGGGGCCGCACCTGGGTGGCCAGGTGAGCCGAGCCGTGCATGTGGACAGAGGGCATGACCAGCCAGGATGACGGTCCCTCACAGTCCTCCTCTGTCCCATAGCTGTGGTGACCCTGGAGCCCTGCGAGGGCGCAGACACCTATGTCAATGGCAAGAAGGTCACGGAGCCCAGCATCCTGCGGTCAGGTATGACGAGGGCCTGGACACAGGTGTGCCTTCCCCGCCCTGCTGCTTCAGGATGGCACCTGGGGTCCGTGCACTCAGCTTGGTGTCTCCCTCCTGGCACCTGGGCCCGGCTAGAATCTGGGCCCGAGGGCAGTGGGGACAGAGTGGTGACCAGCTGAGGGTGGCCGGTAAAGGTGGCTGGGGGAGGAGCTGAGGGAGGCCTTAGGGGGGGACACACCAGCGGACAGGGGCTGGCGTGGGAGGAGGAGCTGGGCCGGCCCCTGTGGGCCCCAAGTTGGAAGGAAACTAGGCTGTCCAAAGAGCTCTTATGGGCAGGACTGTCCAAAGATAGTGGGTGCTGCTGCCCTGGTGGATGCGTCTGCCCTGGGGGGCCCCGGGCACACGCAGACCAGCCCCCGCCCTGCGCCAGCCTGTGGAGAGGCGGATGGGCAGGGAAGGACCCTCAAGCCCATGCTGCAGGAGGGGCCCGAGCACAGCCCCCGGGTGTGGAGGGGCATCCAGGGCCAGGGCACGGGGTCAGGAGGCCAGGATGGGGGGCGGCACGTGTGGGGTAAGGCAAAGGATCGTATGTTGGAAAAGCACCAGGACTCTTTTGCCAACATTGTTGGCTGCTGTATGGGGAGGGATGGAGGAGGTGGATTTGGGGAGAGAGTGAGGTCCTGGCCACGGGGCAGGTGGCTGGCCCAGAGCAGGGACCTGGGGCGGCTCCCGGCGGCCCTCCTTGTGGTGGGCAAGCCGGAGGAAGTGCCTGTGCCCCGCTTGCGCCTTCTCCTCCCCGCCCCCACCCCTGGAGGCCATCACCAGGCCACAGCCCCCCCCCATTGCCTGCCTGGCTTCTGTCCCCCAGGAAACCGCATCATCATGGGGAAGAGCCACGTGTTCCGGTTCAACCACCCTGAGCAGGCGAGGCAGGAGCGTGAGCGCACGCCCTGCGCCGAGACACCCGCCGAGCCCGTGGACTGGGCCTTCGCCCAGCGGGAGCTGCTGGAAAAGCAGGGCATTGACATGAAGCAGGAGATGGAGCAGAGGTGAGGCCCGAGGCTGGGGTCCCCTGCGCACCCTGCCACGCTCACCCCCGCTGTGCCCGCTCACCCCTGCCCGCTCCTGCAGGCTCCAGGAGCTGGAGGACCAATACCGCCGGGAGCGCGAGGAGGCCACCTACCTGCTGGAGCAACAGAGGCTGGTGAGGGCAGCTCCTCCCGTCAGGCCCCCTGCAAGGTTGGGGTCGGGGGCCGGGGTCCCCGCTGGGTCAGCCCTCACTGTGGTGGGGCTGCCTCCGGACGTCCTGGGCAGGCCCTGGGGCCTGTAGATGGAGGCCCAGGCGGGAGGCCGGGGAAGGGGCCGGGCGCGCACGTGGGTCCACAGTGCTCCTCCCGTGGCCAGGACTACGAGAGCAAGCTGGAGGCCCTGCAGAAGCAGATGGACTCCAGGTACTACCCGGAGGTGAACGAGGAGGAGGAGGAGCCAGAGGATGAAGGTGAGGGGCTCTCCGCCGGCAGGGCCTGGGCCTTGGGCTCGGGAGGGGTCTCGGACAAGAGGAGCCCCCAGGCCACTCCCTGGAGATCAGCTGGTCAGCACCTTTGCCCTGGGGTCCCTGGCCTGTCGCTGGGAGGCACCCATGGCGGCAGGACCGGGGGGAGGCTGGGCTGCAGCAGGAAGGCACCTGTGCACATGCACGCCGTTTCCGTGGACCAGCCCGGGTGATGGGGAGCGCGGTGCTGGCAGGGTGTAGCCTCGCCCTACCCGTCCTGCCAGCATGAGGCTGGTGCTCTTCCCCAGGACTGGGTCACACTGCTCGTGAGGAGTGTGACTGCACCTCTCTGAGCACCACCTCGGGCGGCCCACCAGCTGACCTCAAGCCGCTGTGGGCACGAGGGTGGCCACAGGCCGGGCAGATGGGGAGGAGTCGGGCCGGGGGTTCGTGTCCAGCTTGGCCTCTGGTCAGCTGTTCAGTACCTTTGTGCTGACGTGACCTTGGCCTCCCCTTGTGTGGTATCATCTACCCGATGAGGCTCCCTCCCTCAAGGCAGGAGCACTGGGTGAGAGGGGCCAAGCCTGGGAGCCCGGACAGGCCCATCTTGCTGTCCCTGCGTCCTTCCTGGTGCAGGCGCAGTGGGCAGAGGCGTGGGAGCCGGGACAGGGTGTGAGGCTCAGCCCCGGTTGGCCCTCCTGCCTGTCCTCCTCGGGCGCCCGCACCCACCGCGGCCCGCACACGGCTGCCAGCCCTCTCTGAGCTTACCGGCCTCTCTGCGAGCTCCAGTCTCTGGGCGGCCCCTCTGGCCCCTCCGGGGGCAGAACTTTCCGCCGGCTTCCTTCTGCCCCGGCCAGAACGGGGAGTTGCGGCACTTCCGTGATGACCACACACGCCTCTCCCCGCAGTCCCGTGGACAGAGAGGGAATGTGAGCTGGCGCTTTGGGCCTTCCGGAAGTGGAAGTGGTACCAGTTCACGTCGCTGCGGGACCTGCTGTGGGGCAACGCCATCTTCCTCAAGGAGGCCAATGCCATCAGCGTTGAGCTCAAGAAGAAGGTGGGCTCCCACCCTGCTGCCTGCTGGCCGCTGCCACCTTCACACATCCCGCTTCCAGGGGGACTCGGTGCTGGGCATCCCTGCCCCCGGGGAGGACACAGCCGCCATCCCCGACCTGGGCCCCTGAGAGCGGTGGGCAGGGTGAGGGAGGCCCGGGGCCGGCCCCGGGGGGCGTGCGCCCTCCTGCTCAGGAGCACGCGTGAGTGGGTGCGGCTTTCTGTTCCACTGCTGGCCGGAAGGCTCCAGTGAACATGCGGGGCGTGGGGTGGGGAGGTGGGGAGGAAGCCCTTTGGGGCCTGGCCCCCGTCCACCAAGGGGCTGACGGGTGGTCATCTTCCCCCTCTGCAGGTCCAGTTCCAGTTTGTCCTCCTCACGGACACGCTCTACTCCCCGCTGCCGCCGGACCTGCTGCCCCCAGAGGCCGCCAAAGACCGGGAGACTCGCCCCTTCCCCCGCACCATTGTGGCCGTGGAGGTCCAGGACCAGAAGAATGGGGCCACCCACTACTGGACGCTGGAGAAGCTCAGGTGTGGGGCGGGGGGGCGCGAGGAGAGCAGTGGGGGTGGGTGCGGGTTCACGGGGCTCCTGGGTTGATGTGGTGGTTGTTCCTGCTGTGATGGCTTTCAAAATCAGAAGGAAAAAGCGTAATTATAGGATCCGTGTTCTCCTGCTGCTGACACAGTGGTGCTGCAGGGGGGCCGTGGGGGCCAGCGGCGCATGCAGGACGGGCAAGCTGGCCCTGAGGGGTGCGCGGGGAGCCTCCAGAGCGGCGCTGGGTGAGGCCGCGTCCTCAGAAGAGCTCAGCAGGGTGCGTCTCCACCTCGGGACTGGAGGGATCCCAGGGGGGACAGCGGAGGGGCCTGGAGGGGCTGGATGGGGGGCGCCGCTGTCCCTGAGAGAGGCGTCTTTCCTCCAGCTCCATGCTCCCCATGTGCTCGCTCGAATGTACAGCTCGATCTAGAGAGAGACTGAGCGAGACCGAGGTCAATGCCATCAAAGGAAAGTCTAATGCTGCTGGGGGTGCCCTGGACTCAAGGGGCTCTGCACAGAGGCAGGGCCATGCAGGTGGGAGGGAGCCCTGGCCATCAGGAGGGAGACAAGAGCAGAGGCAGGTGAGGCCTCGGCCTCGGCGGGGCAGGGCCATCCGCGGGGACTAGCCACTTTGAGTTCTCCTGGTGGGCTTTGGAGCACAAGGCTGCCCGGGTTGCCTAGTGCCTGACCCTAGGGAGATTTCGGGCAGGGGATGCTGACTTGGTGGTGAGCGAGGTAAGGGCGGGTGGGGTTGGTTTGTGTATGACGGGTGGGACTCACCCGCAAGTTGTTCACGGGCTGGCTGGCCACCCCACGAGGCCCCAGGGCAGTCACAACGTCATAGACTACAGAGAACGGAAGATGTTGTTAATACACACTCGCGGTCCTACCCAGACCCACCCCCACACACCCCTCAACACTCACAGACACTCGCACGCCTTCCTCTCTAGTATGGCTCGTTCGCACGCGGACACACACACTGGCGCACACACGCTCACACACAGGTACCCGCGCTCCCCTAAGACTCATGCGAGCAAAGGCCACGCTCACGGCCCCTTCCCACCCTCCCCAGGGCTACAGTGGGACTTTTGTGAGGACAAACACCTTGTTCCTGTCACTCCCGAGTTCTAGGGGGAAATGACTGCATTTCCTTTTTTCTACAGCATGTTGGTTTTTCTAGGGATAATCACATTTTTAAAATATTATCTGTGTCTATATCCTATCGCCAATTTGCACTTGGTTCCATTGAGTTCTAAGGGCCCCGCGACACGATCCCCCATCCCAAGCTGCCCCACCCTGGCTTTGGCGGGCCTTCTCTGTCCCCTTGCCTCCAGTTCCAGGCCCATGCTGCCTGCTCACATCACCTTGGCTGTCACTGGGTCAGCGTCGAGAGGATTTAGCGGTGCCTCGCGTGCTTACCTGGAAGTTTCTTGCTTGTGGTTGACTGATTTTGAGGAGTGTGGAGGGTCTGTCAGCAAACCACGTTGAACCTTGGATGACGCTGAGCTATGGCTGGATCTGGGCCGAGCACGCTGTCCCCAGCAGGAGGCATGGCCTGCTGGACGCTCCGCCTGGGCCCACGGTGATCTCTGTGCCCCTGCAGGCAGCGCCTGGACCTGATGCGGGAGATGTACGACCGGGCAGCTGAGGTGCCCTCCAGTGTCATTGAGGACTGTGACAATGTGGTGACTGGCGGAGACCCCTTCTACGACCGATTTCCCTGGTTCCGGCTGGTGGGCAGGTGGGCGCCTCCTTCCCTCCCTAGGCTGAGAGAGAGAGAGAGAGAGAGAGAGAGAGAGAAGGTGGTGGGGGCAGGGAATGGGCCTCCTCCCAAGGCCGAGACCCCCAGCTGGGGGACCCCATCAAGAGGCCCTCTTCCACCTCGACTCCCTTGTCCTCACCCTTCAGCATTTGAGGCACCCCCCCAGCCGCCCTTGTCCACAGACCAGTGGGCCCTGTAATCTGGGGATCCGGGGAGGGGAGGGGGTCTCAGCATGGCCACCCGCACCTGCTGCAGGGCGGTGGCTGCCAGGTTACGCATGTCCACGGGTGTGAATGTGTGTCACCCGGTCCTCACACGACCTCAGCCACACCTGGCCAGGATCACGCCAGCGGGTGCTTTCCAGAACTTTCCGTAGCCTCCCACTGACCACATGTGCGGTTTCTTTCCAAGCCTGGGGACGGGGTGCACTTTTGGTTCTCTTGTCTCTGAAAGCAGCATTCCTGATGGTCTGTGTGTTTGGTTTTGGTTTTAAGCAGAAGCCCCCCTCCCCCGCCCCCGTCCGTCCCTGCGAGTAGCTGGTGTTAACTTCTCTCTGTCTTGTCGTACTAACCTCAGTTCAGTCATCTCTGGCTGCAACAGCTACCCTCTTCTCAACACATGCATGAGCGAGCGCATGGCTGCTCTCACCCCCTCCCCCACCTTCTCGAGCCCCGACTCCGACGCCACCGAGCCTGCCGAGGAGCAGAGCGTGGGGGAGGAGGAGGAGGAGGAGGAGGAGGAGGAGGAGGACCTGGAGGACGACGTCTTTCCGGAGCACGCGCTGTGCGACGGCCGGGACCCGTTTTACGACCGGCCCCCCCTGTTCAGTTTAGTAGGAAGGTTGGTGAGGTCGAGGACGGCATGCTGGGAAGGAACCAGCTCTTTTGTGCAGGAGCACTGCTGCGGGCACAATTCGACCGCCGTCAGGGCATGGCCCCCGGCGTGCGGGGCAGCTCCCCGGACCCCCAGGCTGAGGCAGGCCGAGGGGCTGGCCTCCCCGAGGAGAGGGCGTGAGGGAGCGAGAGGGCTCCTGGCCATCCTGGAGCATGCCCGGCAGGGACAGTAAGGGTCCCAGTCACAGGAGGGGTGGTGCACCCAGAGCTCGGCCCTCCGGCTCCGTGCAGGCTGAGCTCCTCCTGCAGAGAGGCTCTAGATCCCTGGGGGGAGTCCCGGAGCAGGGCCCGTGGGGGGCGTCTGGGAAAGTGGGGGTTTGCGTCTTGGCACCCACCACCCGCTGAGGCGGCTTCGCTCCCCTCTGCCTCCTTCTGCTATTGCCCCAGAGGTGGAGGCTCCTGGTTTGCTCTCCCTGCCACACCCTCTGGGAGAAGGAACAGAACCTGGAGGAGACCGTCCTGGAAGGCAGGAAGGAAGGGCTGGTGCTCAGGCAGGGGACGGTCTGCCTCCCAAGCCTGGGGCCCAGTGGACCCTGCCTCTCCCTGAGCCTTTCTCCATCCGATGTGAGGACAGTTCATTCCTCCTGACCTCTGGGCTGTCCTGGCGAGACACGGCACATGTGGCCCACACTTCACGGGAAGTGCCCTTTGCAGAGAGGGCCCATTACAGTTTCTGGATGGAAGAGGGAGGTCAAGGTCAGGAGGTGCAGCAGAGGCCCCGGGGCAGCTCAGACCTTGCCAGCAGATTGGGCAGATGCAGCTGCCATTCATGTTTTCATGACCGTGGAATGGAAGCAAAACAGGTGAAAGAAAGATCTAGAAACCTAGCTGTAGTGGTAGAGCATTTGGCTTACGAAACAGCTACATTTAGCTTTTACAAATATATAAAAAGTGTAAGACAGTTTCAACAGTGACCTTCTCTGAGTTTGAGATCGCTTCCTGGGGCTAGGCCAGTGGGAGCTTTTGCAGGTCTTGACCTCGGAGCACCGGCCTGGAAGCTGAAGGCTGAGGCTGGCCCCCAGATTAGGGGGTTCACACGGGGAGCCCTTGGGTGCAGACCTTGGAATGAAAGCCCCACCAACTTCTCTTGCAAGCAAGCAGATTCCCGCGGGTGCATGTCATGGATTTATTCTGACTAGTTTTCCATGAGTGTGACGTGCTGGCCTCCTGGATACAAACATGGGGCTCTCTCCCTCTGAGACGCCCCTCATCTGGGCCTCCCGCTCTGCTGAGCCCGACAGGGGGTGTAGCCCCGGGGGCCAGCTCCACGCAGGCCTCTAGAAGCCCTGGGCTGTGGGCCCAGGAGTTGCTCCGGTGTCAGGTAGGCATGGGCTCAGGGCGCAGGGGAGCGAGGGCACCGGGAGAAACGGGGTGTGGGCTCTGCAGTCTCAGCCAGAAAGAGCTGGGTCCTTCCAACATTTTCCCCCCTCTGTGGATCTGAGATGTTACGAAAAAACAAACCAAACCAAAGTCATCAATGAGAGGCCAGCCCCCCTACGGCGGGCGGTCTGTGAAGGGTTTCATTTGGAAACGTCCCCATCTTTTCGGTTTGGCAAGAATTGGCTTCTCCCGCGCAGCAGCTGTGCAGGCCCAGGCCCCGAGAAGGACCCCATCTTTGGTTCCCTTTATCCTTCTGGAAGCTGCTGGCTCTCTCTCCAAAGCTTAAGCAGAATTGGGGCGCCCACTCTTGTCTCCCTTCGGAAAGGCTTTCCTGGCCCCAGCATGCGTCTTGCACCTCACCAATCTCGTGGTTAGCCCTGCCTCCTCCCCTCCCGCCACACTCAGCCCTGGCTCTGCCGTTCTGCCGCCTCCTCTCTCTCCGGGCGGGTTTCAGCCTGCTTCAAGGTGCCTACCCCTGTGGACGAGCCCCCCTCAGCGTGGGCCTCCCATGTCTTGACCCTGGGCTCCTCACCCCTGGCCAGGGTTAGCCCCCCAGTGGCCTCTCCCTCTGGTGGTCTGGGGTGCCAGGTGAAGTGGGTAGGTGGGATGGGCTGACCCGGGTGGAGGAAGTGGGCCTGGGGGCTCTGGTCCCCCCCCTGCCGATAATCCTTCTGGCCAGGAGCACCATTTGCAGAAGCTGGACGGGGTGGGAGCTGCAGGGAGGAGGGCAAGGGGCTGGCTGCCAGGGGTGGAGGGTGCAGGGAAGGGGGAGGAGGGAGCACCCAAAGGAGGTGTTCCAGACAGCGTGGAAAAACACCGACCTGCTCTGGGTCCACACTGTGCCCCTGGGCTGGCATGGCCAGTGCCTCAGCTCCCAGCTCGGTGCCCTCTGTGCTCAGGGCTGCTCAGCCCGAATCGTCACCAGCGAGGCCATAGGCCTCCCTGTGGGCAGTGGGTGCACCCTGGCCAGCAGGGCCCTCCGGGCAGCCCTGGGGCACATCTGGTCCCTTGCTCATGTCAGGCTGTTTCTGGCATTTACAGTGCAGCGAAGGGCAGGCTAACTTCCATGCCATGGGTCCCATTTCCTCATGTCCTGGCTCCTGTGGGTCAGGCTAAGCTCTGCTTGGGGTATGGGGTCTTCCAGGCTGCTGCCGCCATTGGGGGTGGTAGCTACTGGGCCCCAGAGGTCCCTTCTGACTGATGTGCCCATCGCTGTCTCACGATTCGGTCCCAGGGATTCAGGGTGGCGGGAAGGAGAGTGGACCCAGCATCTGGCACCGGATGCTCTCTTGCCTTCCGGGGGTGTCCCACCTGCACGCCCTAGGGGAGCATGTGCACACGTGTTCACTCACAGCTGGGTTACGACCTTCAGAGAGGGGGAAAGGGGTTTGGCCATGGACCCCAGGGGTCTCTTTCATTGTGTAATCCCCCACCTCCCACCGGGGGGTCCCTCGAGGCCCCAGCCCTGGGAGGCCCTGCCTCTGGGAGCACAAATGGGACGCGTTGTCTAAGGATCTGAACTTGGGCTTTGCCGTTCTCGATGTCACGAGTCCTTGGATTTTCCTTCTTCTCTGACAGAAGGAAAGCCTAAAAGATCAGGAAAGAATTGATCTACTTAATTAATTAGCTGTGTGAATCGAGCGGGTGGGCATTGGAGTGTGGCGTCTGCATCCATTGGAGCTGGAGAGGGGCCAGCCTGTGGGTTTAAACCCTAGCCCCCAGCACCTTCCTTTCTGTCTTGTGTTGCTCTGTGGAGGGGTCCTAACACGCTAGTGCACCAGCTCTAAGTGCCGTGCTAGATGCACACCTAGGGAGAGAGTGCCTGCAGGGGAACCAAGACGTGTCGGGGGTTAGGACAGCCTCACATCTGCTGCTAGGATGTGAAGAGTGGGTATCTGAGAAGTGACGAGCTTTAGGGGCACTGCAGCCCGGGGCCGGTGGCCCCGCTGTGTCCGAGCTGGCCCCCAGCCAGCTCAGGATGCAGTGAGCAGCTAGGACTGCGCCATGGCTTTTTCTCCCATGGACCGCTGATGGGATGATTTGGGCCTTGGGGTCACGAGAGGCCCAGCCCCCATCTGGTTTGTGGGAACCTCAGATCTGCACAATGATACAGGTTCTTGAGCCCATGGGTTGGCAACCTGTCAGAAAGCGTCCATTCTGGAAGAGCACAGCGTGTTTTGTGAAGTGAGGCCTCAAGGAGAGAACCGGGTCAGGGCCTGCCTGCACCCGCTTCACCTCCTGACCTGGACCGGGCCCTGCCCTCTGCCTTAGTCTCTCTCTGCCCTGGCCATGGTGAGGGATGGGGAGGAGCATCAGGAAGTGGGTGGGGGTTCACCCTGTGAACTCAGAAAGGGGTGGGGGTCACCTCTGGGGTGCTGTGAGTGGCACTCTGGGTGACCACAGAGCCCTGCACGCCCAGAGTCAACCCCTGAGGGATCACCCCTGAGCCTCCTAGGAAGGCAGCCCCGGGCCAGGGGGTCTGCAGTGGCCTGACCCTGGCTCACCTCTTGGCTGGGTGACTCTGGACAGCCCAGGAAGCTATCCTGATTAAGGACTCTCGTGCTGGGCACGGTGCCCTCACCTGGCCCCCAGTGAGAGGTGTCCCCCTGCTTCTGAGGGTCCTCCTATTGGTTCCCTACAGAATATAGATGGGGGTGGGCAGGCTGTGGGCCCTCCGTCTGTGCCTGGGGCCCCTGGGAGCCTCCTTAGTGCCGCTCTGCCTCCCAACATGGGGCTTCCCGCAGTGGGCCCTGCCCCAGGAACGAGGCCCTGCCCTGAAAGATGGGGTGGGGGCTGACTGGAGGACCCCTGCAGCTCAGGGCTGTGCTGCTCGGTCCCATTAGCTGTCCAGTGTGGTGGGATGGCCAGGTGGGGCCCAGCCAAAGGGGCAGAGCAGCATCTGGGCCTGTTCTGCCGCCTGAGTCCTGGGCTTCCTCCACTTCCCCTTCTGGACCTCAAGGCCTTGCTCCTTTCATGGCTGCCCCCCTCACACATCCCCAATTTCAAGCAAAGGCCCTTGGCCAGGATGCCGGAGTCCCAGGGAGGGCAGGCCACCATCGTCCCCATCCCGAGGTGGGTGCTGGAGAGGCCCATCAGCCAGCCCTGGCCAGTCCCTGTCAGCAGGGTGCCCTATGCTGCTGCAGCAAGGGGCTTCTGCTCCCTGAGCCTCAGATTCCTTTTGTGACCAGGGCCAGGGCTGGCTTCTGCCGGCCACTGCCGTACCTCATCTTGGTGGGTGGTCAGGGGCAGCAGAGCCCCCACCCCTGTCCTAGTCAATCCATCAACACAGCTGCCCTTCGGTGAGTTCCCAAAAAGGACAGTGAGTTCCCTTGGAACAGTCTTCCTCTGGGGTATTCCCAGAGAGGGTACTTTGCTGGGGAGGAGAGGGGCTCCAGGAAGCCACCAGGGGCTAACACTCAGGGTGACACTCAGCCCCTTAGGGTAGCACAACCTTTCCCTCTAGCTGGCGCCTGTCTTGGTCTGGGGGTTGCCCAGGAAGCAAGAGATGGTTGGCAGACACAGACTCACGGTTGAGTCAGACAAACAGATGGCCATGAGGAGTTATGTGATGTGGGGGCTGGGAGCAGAGAGCGCCTGGGGTGTCCCGGGACAGAGAGTGGCTGGACGGTGGGCTTGGCCAGCACCGAGGGTGTGTGGAAGTCTGGCTGGAGCCCCAAGCCTCCTCTGGCTGCTGTGGGGGCCGTGGGGGAAGCAGAGGGGTGGCTGGCTCTCCGCAGAGACATTTGGGGTAGAACCAATGCATCTGAGACAAGAGCCAGATGGTGCTCAGGTTTCTGACCTTCTGTGGGTGGAGGGCCAGTGGGAGTGGAGGTGAGGGGGCACCAGGGCCTGGAATTTGGGTCCTTGGGGAATGGCCCTCCCCATGACTACAGTCGTAGGGGGTCCTCTGGGAGCTCAGGTGTGGGGTGAGGCCAGTGGCTCAGCCTGGGTGGTATCTGACCTCTGAGCAAGCTGAGAGGGGCAGGGGGGTGGGGTGACATCTCTCTCCCTTCTCCTCCCAGCTCCACCCTGGGTCATGCACCCTGGGGCCAGCACCCACCTGGCCCGCAGACTGCGACCTTCCCTCCCCCACCTCCCCTTCACCACCCCCCCCCCCCCCCCCCCCCCCCCCTTGCTCTTCTTGCTTCTGGACCTCCTTGGTTCTCCCTGGCTGAGGCTCTGGGCCTCCCGCCACCCACCTCCGCACCTGCTCCCGCACGCCTCCTACCTTTCTGTGTCCAAATCCTGCCCATCCTTTCCCAAGCTGGATCCCCGCCCCGGCACCCCCAGCTGCCCCAAGATCCTGGGAGCTCAGGGCTGTTGAAGCCTGCGCCCCTGGGTTCCAGCAGCAGCTGTCTGTCGCTCTGTGCCTGGAAGGGAGGGCAACGTGGGGGGCAGGCCATGTGCTGAAGTATGAGCAGAGCTGCAGGTTCTCACCAGGATTGGGCTCACGTGAGCCCGCCTGTCCTGTGCCGGGAGTCCCCCTGGGAAGGGCGCCCTGAGCAGGGAGGAAATGTGCTCCACATCAGCCTGCCCACCTGGCTGGGTGGCCCGGGTCTTCCAGGGTCCTCTTGGCCCTCCTGGCTGGCCCGGTGGCCTCTGCACGCTGGCTAGCTCAGGGAGTTGGGCAGACTCCTGGGTGACATGGCCACCACCCATCCTGTCCTGCCGCTCGCCGGGTGTACAGCTGAGCCGCTTGGGTGGGAAGGGCCCTGGGCACTCAGTGGGTGGCTGAGGGGGGCTCACCAGGCAGTGCTGTGCGGTCTAGGGGTTCCTTAGGGCTCTGCTCAGCCAACTTCCCTGGCCCTGAGCTGGGGGTGGTGCCCCGTCGGCCGACACTGTGAGCCCGCTGTGTTCCTAGAAGGGTCTGAGAAGGAATTGAGCTGTATTCTGCCATAGGAGCCCACCATGGGGCCCTGAGGTCCGGGGTCACTGGGAAAGGGGCGGGAGGCTGAGGGACTGCCAGGCATCAGTGCCAGTGTGAGGTCATAGCTCGGCGTGGCCGGGTCCCCAGGTCCTCCTCCTCCTTGAAGCAGGCTGAAACCTCCCTCCTCAGCTCTCAGACAGTGGGTATGGCCCCGTGGGCTTTGCCCTGTGCCAGCCCCACTCCGCACTTCCTCTCTGCCCGCCCTGCGCACGCCCTCCTCCTCCTCCTCTGCCCCCTGCCTCCTCCTGTCTCCTCTGCAGCCCGGGGACCGCCCCCCCGACCCCCTCCCAGCACAGCCCCCCACCCGTCCCGCCTGCTCGCTGCCCTCGCTCTGCTTCGCAGTGTCGTGTCGTGAGCCCGGGCCGTGCTGCCGCCAGTGCCGTTGCCAGCACGCTGCGGGGAGGCCCTGACCTCGGCTTCTGCTCCCCCCAGGGCCTTCGTGTACCTGAGCAACCTGCTGTACCCCGTGCCCCTGGTGCACCGCGTGGCCGTCGTCAGCGAGAAGGGAGAGGTGAAGGGCTTCCTCCGCGTGGCCGTCCAGGCCACCTCAGGTGCGTGTGGGGCGGCCCAGGGTGGGAAGTCCCCGTGGGCACCACGCCGTGGCCAGCATGCCTCTGGCCTCTGTTTCTCCGGCCCCCCAGCTGGCACGCAGGCTGCCGGCGCCCAGGAGGGCGCTCCAGGAGAAGCCCCTGCTGCCCAGCTCCAGGCTCCGTCCTTCCAGACTCTCCCGGGTTGGGTCTGCCGGGGGGTGGGCCCCCCGACACTGTGCAGGCTGAGCCCAGGGTTGCCTGAGCCCACTGTAGCTCAGGGGCCCCCTCCCTCCCATCGGGCAGCCCAGGTGGACCCAGACCCCAGCCGAGTGCAGAGTGGTGCTCTCTCCTAGCACCCTGCCGTCTTGGAGCCCAGCACAGGTGCGCAGACCCCAGACCCCCCTCCAACAGCTCTCAGAGCCTCCCTTCAGACTCCCCAGTGTGCCCCTCCTTCAGACCCCTCAGCCCCTCTGGAGCTGGCCTTTCCCCCCAGAGGCTGTGCACCCTCCCTCCACCGTTGGCCTGCAGAACAAGCCCCCTGGCTGCAGAGGTGGACACCCTCTTGGGCTGAGCTCCCTCCGCCCTGGCCAGAGTCCCAGGACAGGCAAGCCACAGGATGAATGCCTTTGAGCCTGGGTGTGCTTCCCTGTAAATGGCATCCCATGTGAAGCTTGCCACCCAATAGGCATGTTGAAAGGTCATTCCAGAACACAGCTGTGAACACCCTTACCTGACCAGGAAGCGGCAGGCCCGAGGGCCTGTGCTCGCACGCTCTAACAGCCATTACTGCCTTCTTGGCCCTTGGGCCCCTGCCCCTCCACCGTGGCCTCGCTCTGTCTCCTCCCCATGGCCTTGGCAGCCCGGACACCCTGGGGAGTCCACTGCAGAGTGTCTCCCAGACAAGGTGGGGCCGGGCCGCTCAGAGTGCGAGCATCCCACCGGTGAGACCTCGTGCCCCCCTACCCCACCTGGATGGCCCAACCACTAAAGGGGGTCTGGTTGTACTTTTGGGACCCTTTTGCCAAATTCTCACTGGCCCTCAATTTCCAGGTGCTCTTTATAGTGCGTCCCAGTCATGTCACTGTGGTGCCAAGACCCCCGGGATCCTGAATAGGGGGGAGGACAGAGGACAGGGATGCTAGGGACATCTAGTGCCACCCTCATTCCTCATGGGCAGCCCTGTCCCTGTAACCTTGGGGGAGCTCTGTCCCCCTGAGCTCTTGGCCCTTTGTGACCAGGCTGAGCCTCGGTGGAGCTGGTCCCACTGAGCGGCCTGCTTTATAGGCGGATGCGGTCTATATTTGGACACACTTGACACTCCCTGTCTAATGCTATGGTGGAGAAGCTGCAACTTCAAAAAGCTCCAGTGGTCACAGAAGTCCCACCTGCCCTGCGAGTGTCCGCTTGTTGGACCCCTGAGCACCGAGCTCTGTGGTACTCGGGTCCTGGGCCAGCCCCGGGCCCTTGAATGGCTGGGGTCGAGAACACAGCAGGGTTTGTCCCCCCTAGGGTCCCCAGAAGAGGAGGTTGGAGCCCCTGGAGGGTCCTAGAGGCCTCCCAGGGTGGGGTGTAGCCAGAGTGACTGGAGTCAGGGTTGGGGAGGGGACAGAAGCCAGGTCTGGCGGGTGGGGGGGGTCCCTGGGGCAGCAGGACAAGGGGTGGGAAACAATGGGAAACCACAGGACTCTGTAAAGGGAGGGGAGTGGGGGGGTGTGGGGTGCAGGTATGGGAGCTGAGTGAGGGGTGCTTGGGGGCTGTTGAGGGTCCAGATGGAAGATGGTGCAGGCCTGCAAGGGTGGAGGCAGAGGGACAGCTGTGATTCTGGGGGTGAAACCAGGAGGACCCTGTGATGTGGGCTCTGCCCAGTGAGATTCTGCTGGAGCATCTAAGTCTGGGGGTGGGGGCGGTGGCCAGGACTCAATGGAGGGACAGGTGTCATAGTTTGGTTTTGAGATGTGGAGTCTGTGGCCCCATGAGGGCCGGCCATGCTGAGGAGGTGGCCCTTCTCGGGCCCCGAGCGGCACAGGCTGGTGGTCTGAGTGCCCGGGACGGCACCCTGGGTGTTCTGGAGCTGTGGTTGGCAGTGTTGGGGATCCCCTGTTCCGGGTCAGAGCCTGTCCCATTTCCTGTGCCTTGCCCCTGCCTGGTGGCTCAGAGTGGCTCTGCCAAAGCCTCCTGGGGAACAAGCAGGGCCCTGACTGTCGGCTCTGTTCCCGTTTCAGCTGATGAAGAGGCCCCTGACTATGGCTCCGGTGTCCGGCAGTCAGGAACCGCCAGAATCTCCTTCGACGACCAGCATTTTGAAAAGGTACACGCAAGCGTTGGCCTGGCCACCCAACACCAATGACCCCCCTCCAGCCCGATCCCAGGGGCCAGCTGTGCTGAGGGCCCGGGCATACCCACCAGGTTCGGGACCTGCCCTGTGGGCCCTGGGCCCTCCTGGGGTTCGTTCCTCTCTTCCCAGGCCCCAGGCCTTGTGGCTTGCCCGGTCTCTCACTATCTGACTTGTCCTGACCCAAGGGGTCCGTCTATCTCCTCACCATGGTTTCCCCTGGGTCTGTCCCTGCTTTCCCCACGTGGCCCTTGGCTGCATGTGCCCCCAGACGCCAGGATGCCTCCACCCACCCACGCAGCTCCCCTTCTCTTGGGCTCGCTCTCCTGGACACTGTGTTTCCATCTTTGCCCTCCCCTGACGCCCCAGTGAGAGCTAGAGGGGCCCCTCCTCACAGTCCCAATGCCATTAGGGGCTGGGCTGGCCCTGCTCTGGTGCCAAAGGACAAGGTGCTGCACCTGCTCGGTCCTCACTCAAAGGAGACAGTGCTTTCCGCCTGTGCTCCCCTTTCTGCTCTCAGGCAGAGAGAGGGGGAGGGGGAGGGTCCTGCCCGGTGCCCCCATACTGGGCTTAGCTCACAGGAGGCTCCTCCCCTCTCCTTCTTAAGACTCTTTCTTACCCCATCCTCACCAGGCCCCCCATCACCCCACCTGAGCCGTTCCCCACCTTCCCCTCTGCAGCCGACTCCAGCCACAGCAGCATAGGAAACTGAGGCCAAGGGAGGTGGGTGCCCATCTAGGCAGGGGCAGGTCTGGAACACAGGCCCGCAAAGGCCATGGCCTGGCTCCGGGGTCCTCAGTGGGCTGTCGCGGCCTCGCCCTGAGCCAGCACCCTCTGACTCTGGCCCCCAACCCACTCAGTTCCAGTCTGAGTCCTGCCCAGTGGTGGGGATGTCCCGCTCTGGGACCTCCCAGGAAGAGCTTCGTATCGTGGAAGGTCAGGGCCAGGGTGCGGATGCTGGGCCCTCAGCTGACGAGGTCAACAACAACACTTGCTCAGGTGGGTGGCCACACCTGCCCCACCGCAGTCCACAGAGGGCCTGTCCCCTCTTGGCTCAGCCCCCACTCCCAGGGCCCCCCAGGGAGGCCGTAAGATGTTTCCGGGGGAGGAGGCTGTGTGGACTCCTCGCCTGACCCTGAGCTCTAGGCCCTTTGGAGGTCCTGCCACGTTGCTCCACCCTTGGCTCCCAGCAGCCGTGCCTCCAGAAGGCCTCCTCCTGGACAGCCCCGAGAAAGCCCCCCTGGATGGGCCCCTGGACGCTGCCCTGGACCATCTGCGCCTGGGCAGCACCTTCACCTTCCGGGTGACCGTCCTGCAGGCATCCAGCATCTCCGCTGAATACGCCGACATCTTCTGCCAGTTCAAGTGAGCCCCAGCGCCCCGTGCGGCTGCGGGACAGCGGGCGGGCGCTTAGCAGCCTGGGCACCCCTGCCAGTCTGCGGGTCCCCACCCCATGGCCCCTGTGCCCAGCGAGCATCTCCTCTCCCTTTACAGCTTCATCCATCGCCATGACGAGGCCTTCTCCACGGAGCCCCTCAAGAACACGGGGAGGGGCCCCCCACTTGGCTTCTACCATGTCCAAAACGTACGTCCTGAGAGCTCCCCCTCCCCCCCGGGGCTCTGACTTTACAGAGCTGCCCCAAAGCTGAGCCCAGCTGCAGTCACCGTGCATCATATCTTCTCCCCATTCTGAGCCCAGCCGTGAGCTGGGCAGGGCCTGGGTGCGAGGGCACGGGGCCCCGGGTGCCAGGTGGGGGCATGTAGGCTGTTACTGGGCAGTGGGGTCCTCGGTGGGCTTACGCCTAGGGCTGGGGGCACCCTCAGCAGATGTGAACACAAGATGTCTGGGGTGCCCGGCATGGCGCTGGCCAGTATTGGGGAAGAAGCAGAGAGGCAGGGCACACAGAGGGCCCCGGGATACCCGGGCACAGTCTGGAGAGGTCAGGGAAGCCCCAGGCAGGGCCGTGTCCCCAGCCAGGCTGTCAGGAGAGCAGGGGCTTTGGAGTGGGGTCGCTCCGTGAGGCGGGAGAACAGGGCTAGCCAGCTGGCGGCCGTCACTTGGCCGTAACGATAGCCGCCAGGTGGCGGGACCTCGAGTGCCCACCGAGGAGTGTAAAACAGACCCTGGGCAGTGTGGCTTGTGGGTGCGTGGCCTGAACAGTCCCGAGGCCCACACTCGGAAGGGCCCCCCAGACCAGCCTATCCCGAGCCTCAGGTTCTCAGCCGGGGAAGCAGGGTCAGGTGTGAAGGTGTGCATGCTCGGTGGATTCATTTCCTGGGCACCCCGAACAAAGCCCACGCACTGGGTGGCCTTAACAAAGCAACTGCCTCTCGGATCTGGAGGCTGGAAGCCTGAGATCAAAGCGTGGGTGGGCTCGTTCCTTGGAGACCGTGAGGGAGACCCCATGCCAGGCCTCCGCTGGGCCGGCAGGCATTCTCTTCCGTCTGTCCTCACACCACCATCCTTCTGTGTCCATCTTGGCATCCTGATTTCCCCTTTTCATGAGGACCAGTCACATGGGATTAGGGCTACCCTGATGCCCTCGTTCTAATTTGGGATTACCTCTATAAAGACCCTCTCTCTGAATACGGGTCCTGGGCGTTAGAACTGCAACATAGGAATGGGGGTGGGGGGGGCACAATTCAACCCACACCTCTCGGTGAGTGGGCAAGGGCCCAGGAAGGGTCACAGCAGGCCACAGAGGTGCCCCCTGCCCTTTGTCCCCTCTCGAGCTTGGTGTTCTGAAAGGGCACTCTCGGGGGTCTGGCCCCTGGCTGTGGGACGGGAGGGGAGGCGTGGCTGGAAGGACCAGGGAGGAACATCAGCTCTTCGTGGGCAGAGGTCGGGCCCAGTCAGGGTCTCCAGTCCAGTTCTCCGGGGAGGCTGAGCACTTACCTCTGCAACCCTCCTTCCGCTCTCTTGTGGCGTGGCCTCACCCTCCTGCCTGCGCTCCTCACCCACCAGATTGCGGTGGAGGTGACCAAGTCCTTCATCGAGTACATCAAGAGCCAGCCCATCGTGTTCGAGGTCTTTGGCCACTACCAGCAGCACCCGTTCCCACCCCTCTGCAAGGACGTGCTCAGGTCAGCAGCCCTGGGTCGGGGTGGGGGGAGGTCGGAGGGCCCTTCTCAGACCTTCTGATGCAGGCCCCTGCTGCCCTCCAGGGTGCGGGCCCTCTCCCCCTCCCTGCCAGCGAAGCCACCCTGCTCCAGACAGGCCTCCCGATGCCCACCTTCCCCATGGACGGGGCGGCCGGTCACCCAGGGTCAGCAGGACCCAGAGCAAGTCAGAGACGTCCCTCCGGGACTGAGCTGCGAGTTTCTTAAAGAGTATTGCTGTCTGGACCTTGACCTCGGCGTCTGTGGGCTGAGTCTTAGGGCCAGGGAAGCAGGGGCTGGGCGGGGGGTTGGCCAGGGTGGCGCACTGCCCATGGAGAACGCCACCCTAGGGGCCCACCAATCCTGGTCTCCTGGAGTCCTTGGACCCCAGGCAGAGTGAGGGAACATCCTTCCATCTCCCTCATCCCCTGTGGCCTCCCAGGGGCTCTGTGGGTGAGCTGGGTGTCCCCTCTGCCGTTCCCACCCCCAACATGGTGCAGGGAGAACCGCAGAGAGGCTTCTCAGGCAGCGGGAGCCTCCTGCCACCTCCATCCCCCTCTCAGCTGTCCTACGGGACCCGGAGCTACGTGGGGCGTCCAGGGTGTTGGAGAAAGAGAAAGGCCATGAGGGCATCTGGCCCCATGAGACTCATCTGTCCTTGGGGTGCCGAGGGAGGCTCTGTCCTGGAAGCCCCTGGACGGAGAACCAGAGTCTGACCTCGCCCAGTTCTTGCGGGTTCGTGGGGCCGCCCCAGCAGGGTCTGGGCTCCCCAGGGGCCTCCTCCCCTGTCCAGGCTGGTGAGGGCCTGAGCCTGGGGCCTTTCCTGGGCCCTGGGAGGCAGGGAGGCAGACAAGGGCTTGGAGCAGACAGCGCCTTGAGCTCCCCCTGCAGCCCCTGCCCTTGGCTCCAGCTCCAGCTCGGGGTCCCGGAGACCCCACCTGCAGCCACCTCTCTCTCCACAGCCCCCTGAGGCCCTCGCGCCGCCACTTCCCAAGGGTCATGCCGCTGTCCAAGCCAGGTACCTGAGGCTCTCCTGAGTCCACCCCTGGGGGAGCGAGGTGCCCGTGCTGCCCTGATGCGTCCCGCCCCTGCTGGGACGTGGCAGACATAGTTTCCCACCAATGGGTGCCTCTCTCCTGTCATCCCCCAGTGCCCGCCACCAAGCTCAGCACGCTAGCGCGGCCCTGCCCCGGGCCCTGCCACTGCAAGTACGACCTGCTGGTGTACTTCGAGATCTGTGAGCTGGAGGCCAATGGCGAGTGAGTCCTCATGCCTGCTGGGGCCAGGGATCCCCAAGGGCCCTGGGGGTGGTCGAGGTGGTGCACGCTGGGTCTCCTTGCCCAACTGACTGGCCTCCAGGGACTGGAGTGCCTCCTCTCCGCCACAGGGAGGGGATGCTTTCCCTGTTCTCACCATGCAGCTCCTCTGGGCACAGGGGTGTGGGGGGCGGCGCAGGGGTGTGGGGGTGCAAGGGTGTGGGGGGGTGCAGGGGTGTGGGAGGGTGCAGAAGTGTGGGGGAGCACAGGGGTGTGGGGGGGTGGCTCAGGAGTGTGGGGTGCACAAAGGGGTGTGGGGGTGCAGGGGCGTGGGGGGTGCACGAGGTGTGGGGGCGCAGGGGTGTGGGGGCACGCAGGGGTGTGGGGGGCAGAGGGGTGGGGGGAGCGCAGGGGCATGGGGGGCGCAGGGGTGTGGGGCGCGGGGGCTAGCCTCTCACATCTCTCTCTTGCAGTTACATTCCTGCAGTGGTGGACCACCGCGGGGGGATGCCGTGCATGGGGACCTTCCTGCTCCACCAGGTGCGAGGCGCTCCCTGCCCCTGCCCGCCCCCCGCTCTGGGGCCCTCAGGCCGCGTCTGAGCACGTCCTCTCTCCTGGCGCTGGCAGGGCATCCAGAGACGGATTACCGTGACCCTGCTGCATGAGACAGGCAGCCACATCCGCTGGAAGGAAATTCGAGAGCTGGTGGTGGGTGAGTGAGATGGCTGGGGGCTGCCTTAGGGGCTGGGGCTGGGCTGGCAGGAAGACCATGGACCCCACCCACTCCACCAACTCCCTGTCCAGGCCAGATGCCTGAGTTTAACCCCAGTTCTGCCCCCGTTGCTCTGTGACTTTGGCCAAGTCATGGAACCTCTCCGTGCCTCAGGCCTTCCCCTGGAGAGGGAAGCTTGGGCTAGGGTGATGATGCCCGGTCTCCGTTGAACCGCCGTGCTGGCGGCCCATGCTGGCACAAACAGCACAGATGGGTCCTGCCCCAGACCTGCAGGCCTGAGGCTGAGGGCGCACTCCCTCTGAAGCCTGTAGGGGGCAGCCCTTCCTTGCCTCGTCCCGCTGCTGCTGGTTTGTGGGGACTCTCTGGTGCTCCTCGGGTGGGGACCCATCATGTGGCCTCTTAGGAGGACCTGGATTAGGGCCCACCTACTCCAGCGTGACCTCATCTCTGCTAATGACCTCTGCCAAGACCCTAGCCCAAATAAAGTCACGTTCTGAGGTCCTGGAGGCTAGCACCACAACACATCCTTTTTGGGGGGGAGGGGACGACACACGGTTCAGCTCATAGCGGTCACCACAGACCAGACGTTTTCCTTCAACGACATCACACTCTGAACTCTTTGGTGTTTCTTTTGCCAAGCTGTAAAAGTTCGTCTTCCCAGCTTCCATTCAAGCGCATGGACAACTCTCCGTCCCTCCCCTGCCCTGGAGCTGATGGATCCTTCTGGAAGCCCCTTCCCGGGCCTTTCTGTGGCCAGGAGGGGAGCCCCTGTGGGGTGCTGTCCCTGGGGCTCAACGGGGGGCCCTGAGGGTACAGTCACAGGGATGCCACCAGGAGACTCATCGTGCTGTACCCCAAAGTGCAGGACTGTGGACCCTGAGCTTCTGGGGGCCCAAGACAAGTGCTTTTATTTTAGACATTGTATATCTATTTTCACACAAATCGTAAAAGGCTGGAGCAAGCTAGCAAATCCTCATCTTAGATGCTGTTAAGGGCAAGTTATGGAATCGACTTAAAGAAAAAGATGAAGCACGTACCCAGCCGACGCACGGACCAAATGCAGACAGGAGTGTTTGTCCCATGTGTGGGCAGAGGAGGGGTGTTGTTGAAAGGAGGTGGGGAGATGCTGGTGTGAACTCCAAGGCCCCACTGCCTCTCTGGGCCTCCTAAACCAAACAGACCTGCGAGGGGACGTCTTTGCCTGACGGGGGCTCCCGGGCATCGCGTTTGCCGGCGGAGCACCTGGCCACACCGAAAGGGCAGAGAGCGCTGCTGATGCACATACCCCAGGGGCCGAGGAGGGGTGAGGCTGGCACTGTAGCGAGCTTTCTCATTACAGCTGAGCTGCAGGGCACTCAGCTATGGGGGACACACCCTTGGAGCACTTTTGGGGGAGCCTACACCTGCCTTCTCCCAGAACCCAAATGTTGCAAGAAGTTTCCAGGAGGTGGGGCAGGCAGCTCCAGTGTGCATGGACACAGAATCCTGGCCCGGTGCTGGGCTCTGCCTCACCTCTGTGTATGGGGAACGGGAGGCCAGTGCTTCCTGTACGGCTTAATGGAGAAAATTTAGTGTGTGTTTCTTCCTTGAAGAAGCGGAGCGTTCCGGTCTCTAACACCACCAGGCAAGAAACGATGCACAAAGCCCCCAGCAGGATTCCTGACTCACCGCAGGCATGGCGCCTTCCCCAGACAGGAGCCGCCACCCCAGGACGGGGCATCTTAGGGGGCTCGGCTGGAAGTGTGCCCTGCAGAGAGATTTATGGCACAGATGGTCCTTCCTTCCTTCCCTCCTTCCCTCCTTCCTTCCCTCCTTCCTTCCTTCCCCCTTCTTTCTAGTATAAAGAGAAGAGGGAACATTTCTCCTTATCCTGCTAAGATTTCTTTTCCCAACAAGGGCTTGTGCGTTCTAGGCTGGGTGGTTAGAACCTATCACTTGGGTGCAAGAGAGATGGACATTGAGAGAGAGTTATTTATGGCTGAGAAACTAGAAACTGAGATTGCGGGAGGAACGATGCCAGGGTGGTCCGCTGAGTGCTGACACCCGGGCTGGCAGAGACGCTACCACGGCCTCCCTGCCTGGTGCTCTTGTGGGCACGTGGGGAGTCGGTTCCCTGATGTGGCTTCACTGTTCCGGAGCTCCAGCCCAGGCAGGGACCCAGCACCTCCGCCTGTCCTCCTGGGAGGTGACTGCACTGTGGTCTTTCCTGTAGGTCGGATCCGAAACACACCAGAAACTGATGAGTCCCTGATCGACCCCAACATCTTGTCTCTCAACATCCTGTCCTCCGATTACATCCACCCGGCCCAGGACGACCGGTGAGTCCCCCTCCGAGTGGCAGTGGGTTCTGTTCCCAGCTCCCTGAAGACAGGGTCCAGGTCAGGACCTGGGCTGTGTCCTCAGCCCGCCATGCCCGTAGGCCACCTGGCTTTGTAAGGTCTAGGATGTGTCTAGCCTCACAACTTTCGGGCCTGCCTTTCTGACACCTCCAGGACGGGTGTCAGGAGGGGAGGCTCGTGGCCTCCAGGTTCCTTGGTGTGTTTGTCTGCATGTTGTCCCATCACTGGCTCACACATTCATCCAGCCTGTTCATTTGGTCACCTGGCAGAGGGGCAGTGGGAGTTGAGGATGGATGAGCTGGGTTCTGTCCTCAGGAGTTTCGGGAGGGGGGCAGCAGGGGTGGTGGGCAGACAAGCAGGCCCGAATGTCCCCAGCCACACTGCTGTGGGTGGTCTGGGCCTCGGGCTGGGGGTCCTGGAGGAGGTTCCGGGGCACATGGGTCAGCGGTTCAGCCTCCAGGGTGGAGGTGTGCCCTCTAGGCACTGCTTGGCACGTGTTCCTTGTCACTGGGCTGCTCCTTGTCCAGCTTGCAGTTAATGGCCAAGACCTGGCAGCCGGGGCAGTCCCAGCTCCACCGCACCTGGGCAGTGGGCAGGGTGTGCAAGCCCCCCGGGGATGCCCTCGCCGCCCCTGACAAACCAGCCTTGCTGGGGTTTGCCGGGGGTGGGGGTGGGGTGTGAGGGGTGGCATCTGGGGACTGACGGGGGGTGGGCAGCTCGTAACTGCCGAGAGCTGCCCTCTTGGTGGGGACGTGGGCTTGGCTGTGTCTGAGATGCTGCTCTCCAGGGGCTTGAGGAAATGAAGAGAGTGTTCCAGGGTCCTGGATGGCTCTCCCAAGGGCAGACATGGTCTGGAGGCAGACGCTGAGAGCTGACCCTTGGAGCTCACGCTCTGGTTGTCTTCACGGGTTCCTGTGGCAGTGTGTGCAGGAAAAAACATTTTTGAGGGCTGGGCGTGCTTGGAGGGGACCGGGGGACCCCGCATTTGCAAGGAAAGCTAAGATCCATAAGGGTAAAGGGTCCTGGGGCGTCGGGTCCTGTCCTTGTGACTCGTGGGCCCCCCGGAGCCTGGCTTTGTCATGGACACCCTGAGGAGTAGGCTCTGGGGGAAGCACGCCCCCGTGTGGGCAGCTGGGGGGCCAGCAGTCAGAGACCCCGAGAGGGGCAGCTGTGACTCTGGTTCCAGCCCTGCCCAGAAACCTTCCAGAAGAATGTCCCCTGCACTCATGTCCCGGGGAGGGAGGAGTTGGGGTGCAGCATGCCGGGAGGTGTCTCACATGGTGTCACTATGATGAGCAGGCTGGGGTTCCACCTGGCAGAGTGGGAAGCTGGGGGGCACCGTGGGGTGAGCCAGCTCAGGGGCTCCTCTGACCACGAGAATGCATCAGAGGAGGCCTGGCACCCACCCACGTGGGAGCTGCCTGCAGGGATGATGTGGGGACTGGGACCCCAGAGCGGAGGGGGTGGCCCCGGGAGGGATCTTCCCTGCTGAGTGAGCTCAGCATGCCCCCTGCCTCAGACCCTTCCTTCGCCCCGGCAACTTCTAGATTCTTGGGGCAGAAAGGGAGTGGGGGGCAAAACCCCAGTGAGTGGGGATGGGTATTTTCCTTCCGAACCTCCTGCCCCATGTGGTCTCCCTACACGGAGGACCGTGTCTCTGAGTCTTCCCTTTGTCCCACCAGCCCAGCTGCTGGGGAGACCTGCAGGGGCCTTGGCTCTGGGCTGAGTCCCGGGTAGCTTAGGAGGCTCTGGCTCCTGGCTGGACCTCGGGTCAGCAAGGCTTTGGCTAAGCAGGTGCACCCCTGTTCCAAGAGGCCTGAGGCCCCATCACTGACGGGACTTTGGTTCTTCTTCCTGGGGATTGTGGGGAGTGAGGGTGGCCACAGGGCAGCTCTGGAGTCCGTCGGCCCTGTGTCTGAGGTCAAGGCTGCCCTGGGCCAAGGGTAGAGGAAGGCCCGTCCGTGGGGCAGGACCATAGACCTTGCCCATAGCTGCTTTGGCCTCAGGCTTGGCTCCCACCCATGCTGGTACAGCCCCAGGACAGCTCCGACCCCCCGCCCCCAGCCTTGCCCCAGGAAAATCTTGGGGACCCTCCCCACCTAGTGGCCCCAGGCAGATGCCATTCTGAGGCTTGGCAGGCCAAGCCAGCAGGCTTCCCCTCCCCAGGACCTTCCTCTTCCTGGACCCTGGCTGATGTCCTGGGAGCCCTGTAATGGGCTGCTTGGGTGGGCCCTTCTCTCCCCAGAGACGCTGAGGCTCCGAGACCCCGGGCGTGGCTTGGGCTGAGGGGTGCAAGCTGTCCACACGCTTTGCCACAGCCTCACCTCCTCCTGCTCCAAGGCCCCGTGCTTTGCGGCCTCCCCAGCTCAGAGTGGGACTGTCGCCACAGATAGCTTCTCTCCGCACTGCCCCTCCCCTCGCTGCCGCTGCCCCACCGCCCCGCTACCCTGCCACCCCGCCGCCCCGCCCCCCTGCCCCGCCGCCCTCACTAACCTGTAATTGTTTGTGTTTTGCAGGCAGTTTCTTGATTCGGACATGCCTAGGTATCATTTGTGCCCCTTGGTTTTATTTCGGCCTCTCTCCTTCCCCAGTCCCACAGCCCTGACATTTAATTTCAGCTTTTTGGATTTCTTCTACACTCGCTCCCCCTTCCCTCCTGTTTCTCCATCTTCTTTAGTTTTATTTCCTTGGAATACTTATATTTATTTATTTATTTATTTTTGTTGTTGCTTCCTCTCCCACCCCCACCCTTCCCTCTTGGCTGAGCCCCTTCTGCCCATACTCTTGATTTTGGCTGCTCTGGTAGTTTCCTACCCCTCCGGAGACACTGGCTGGCCTCCTGCTCCGAGCCTTGCCCGCCCCGCACTGACCCCGTCCCCGCCCGAGCAGGAGCAGGTGCCCCTGCATGCAGGCTGGCCGGCCAGGCTGCCTTTGGCTGCACCAGCCCCACTCCCTGTAAGGTGAAAGAGAAAAGAGGGAGGGAGGGGCTGTGGTGGGCCCAGGACGGGAGGCAGACAAGAACCAGCCATGCCAGGGAACCTCCATGCTCTGCACCTTCCAACCCTGAGTGTCAGCCCCTCGCCTGGCCGGGTTGGGGGTTCCAGCTGTGCTCTTGGCCTTGGCCACCACACACCCTTTATGGAAGTAAGTGGGCAGTAAAGTTGTGAAGGGCCCAGTAGGTCTCTGGACTCACTGGTGTAGTCCCAGGTCCAACCCCCCGGAGGCAGGGGCTACTGGGCAGGGGACTGCCTCCCCGACTTGAGTGGGGCCCCTGTCCGTGCCTGCTGGATGCAAGGGTCAGTGAGGCCCCGGGTGTGGACAGCCTCAAAGTGCCTAATCAAGATCGTCGGTGAGACTCTGTTCTGAGCAGAGGGTCAGGGTCATCTCCTGGGTCCGGTGGATTGTGGTCAGAGCTCCATGGCGTTGGTCCTGCAGGACAGCTATTTTGAAAGGTGAAGTGAGCGTTCAGAAGGCTTCCAGCAGATGTTTGAGCCTTTAAGCTGCCTGGAGTGGGGCAAGGGTGGGGCCCGCTCCTTCTGTGGAAGGAGCCCCAGGGTGGGGTGGGGGGCATGACATGATTGAGTCACGGCTGTGATGGCCACTGTGAATGGGCCCTGGGCCCCACAGAGCAGCAGCAGGCTGTGGCTCCTGCTGGTGTGACCCCGGAGGCAAGCACGCGTATGCACCTGTGCGCCGGGCTCGTTTCCAGAGGCTACTGCTCACCCTCCCTGGGGTCCCTGTCAAGGGAACACGGGTGGAGGTGGCTGCTCCCAAATAGGGGGCACAGCCATACAGGCCCAGAGCAGGGACCTGCCACTCTGGACAGTGGGGCTGGCTTGCTGGAGGAGGCCTGGCAGGGAGCTGGGCTGGCTGGGGCCATCATCCTGCTCTCAGAAGGCTCTGGGCCAGGAGCCCCTTGCTCGGATGCATCCGCTGGACAGGACCCACGTCAAGGGTTGTTTCCTTGATAAGTGGAAGCCTCCAGGACCCAGTATGATTGCTTGGGGGTGTGTGGATGTTTTGCTCAAGTTTGCGTTTCCACAGCCAGCTCAGTAGGATAGAGGGGTGCTCCCTGGTCCTCAGCCCCCCACCCCTCACCCGCAACACATGCGTCCAGGAAGCTCCTGGGTAAAGTGGGGACAATTCCATGTGGCCAGGAAGAGCCATCAGGGAAGGAATGGGCACCGATTTTCCTTTTCAGCACCCCAACTTCATGAGGCCCTCACCCCTGCACCTGAGCAGGGAGCCCAGACCCCCGGTTCCTGATGAAGGCCTATTGGCCCCAGTGGGCTTGGCCTGAAAGAGGAGGCCCAGGGCACTGAGGGGAAATGGGGGTCAGAGCCCCAACCCTCCTTCACGGGGCCCAGCCCTGTGGGGCAGGGAGCCACGGTGGGGGCGGTCCCGGGAACTAGCGGACGGTGGGGTGTGGCGCAGGGAGGGTCTTGTCCTAGATGTGCGGAGTCGGGCAGGGACCTGGGGCAGCCTGGCCGTGCCCCTGGCGGGCAGTGTCCTTGGCTGGCTGTGTGAGTGTGGACAGGTGGCAGAAGCTTCTGGAACCTCGTTTTCCTTCCCCCTCAGAAAGGAGATACTTTAGCGCCTGCTTGAAGCTGCTGTGACAGAAATGAGATACATGAAAATCTCTCAGCTGGGCGGCTTGCAGGCAGCTGTATGAACGTGGGTCATGTGCTCACTCTCCCCTCACCCCTCACCCCTCACCTGTCAGTCCTTACCCTCACCACTAACCACCTACCTCAGGCCCGCACCTCCTCGCTCCTAGCCGCCTACCCTCACCCCTCTGTTCCCTCGCCTCCTGACCCCTCACCCTCTCAGGCCTGCACCTCCTCGCTCCTGGCCGCTCACCCTCACCCCTCCGTTCCCTCGCCTCCTCACCTCCTCACCTCCTTAGTCCCTTAATCCTCTTATTGTTTCTCCGTTCCCTTCTGGTCTGAGGACTCTAGAGTGGCACAGTGGGTGACGCCGCTAAGCCCCGCACGGGTCTGCAACGGGCACAGCGGGATCCCATTCCTCTGCTCTTAGCTGTGGGATCACGCTGAGCACGGGGTTTAATTTTCAGATTCTCAACACACCTGTTTGCCTCAGGATGCCCACCTTGTGACACTCGTCACAAGCACCGGGTACAAGTCACCACACAGTTGTCTAAAGTGTACTGAAGGCCATGTGCGGCCGGCATGTCAGAGTCCGGTGCAGAACAACCAGGTGCCGCGCGCCACAGGGGTGACCCTCTGCCCCTACCTGGCAGCCAGCTGAGACAAGGACCCACCCCACCTGAGCTCTGCAGGGACATGTGCAGGCGCACAGCCCGTTAGATCAGGCCGGGCCAACACGGGGGCTCCTGTGTCACAATCCAAGGGGACGTGAAATGCCCGCCAGTGTTGTGGCTGGGGTGGCCGCTGAAGATTTCTGAGCAAGAATCGACATGGAAAAATTACTTTACAGCCTATGACATTTTCTTTGTCAACAAAACTTTTTAAAGCGTTTTCAGTTTTCCCCATGTGGGTCCTCACTTGTTTGAGGATCAAGTTCTATGTCCCAGAGCTGAGTTGGGGGTGGTCCTGTTTCTGGGCTCCTGCTGCCCAAGCCCTGTGGCTGGGGGGAGTCAGCACAGGCCTCCCCACCCGCTCCAGCTGGTCAGAGGCAAGATGTTGGCTGACAGCTCCTGGAGGTGGCTCGGAGGAGAGGTGCCTCCCTCCTGAGCCTGCAGTCCTCTGCAGAGGGAATTGTGCAGGAGGGCATTTTTCTTCCAGAAGGGGGGGCCTGCAGGAACCCCTAGGGCTCTGCCATGGGGAAAGGCATGCCCTACCAGCTGCAGGGAGTCCCAGAGAAGGGCTAAGGATTGCAAGCTGTGGGTAGGGCCTCCCTGGAAGAGGGACACTCGGGTCCCGGCCTGACAGGGGTCTGGATCTGAAAGGTCCGCAGGATGGTGGGGTGGGCCAAGACTGTGGTGAAGCACCAGAGTGAGCTCAGGCATTCTGCGCACAAGGTGGTCCCACCCCAGTATTTCTACCTCAGTGGGTCTGGGGTGGGATCTGAGAATCTGCAGTGTTCCCAAGTGGTGCTGCCGCTTTGGGTCCAGGGACCCCACATCTGGCCTGCTTGTTTCCCCATAGAGTTGTATCTGAGGGATTGGCTGGGTGTCCAGTGGGGTTAGAGTGAGGGTGCTCTCTTCCTGGGGTGACCTGGGGCTCCCTTCCTGGGGTGACCTGATGCCCAGAGAAATCCCGAGAGTCCTGTGCCTGCTCACGAGTGGGGGTCCTGGTATGGTACCCCTGGCTCCCTCTCTGGCTCTCTTGGTGACCAGCGGGCAGCGATCAGTGGTCCCGGGCTATGTCCCATGGGCTCGGCACCCTATGTGGCTGTGTAGGTCCTACACAAGCGAGCTGCCACTCTGCCACCCCTCCCCACCCCAGGCATACCTGCTGGCATCCGGTGAGACCTCCCTCTGCAGAGGCTTCAGGGGCTCAGGAGTGTTGTTGAGGACACTTCCAGCCTGGGGTTCCTGGATCTGGCAACCATGACCGTGCGGAGGCATGCTGGCTGTAGGCCAAGGGCTGTTCTTCAAGAGGCTGCCTGGGGTTAAGGGCTGACCAGTGGTTTGGAAACAGCCTGTGGGCAGCATCATGGCTGTGCCAGGTCAGACCCTGGCCATCTTGGCGCCTGGGGAACGGCACAGTGAAAGGCACCATCCTAGGCTGTGGACATGGGCCCAAGGGGCCCCCACCTACCACCCTACCCCTCCTCACATGTGAGACCCACAGGTTCAAGTTTTCAGAGAGATCTGGGGTCACTGGAGTCTCAGAGCAAAAGCCACATCCTAACTCGACCGAGGGCCTCTTGGCCAAGAGCATCTCCAAGGGGCCTCGGTGAGTGAGCCTCGTGTGGAGGTGGGCTCATTTCTCCTTACGGCCCCAGCCAGTTCTGGCAGAGTCCATCTGGCCCTGGGGTGAGGCCCCTGGGGTTTCGGCTGGCCTCGCTGGGCTGGCTCCTTTGGTGTGTCCCAGGCAAGGGTGAGGGGTCCAGACGAGATGGGGACCCAGCCCTTGGTGTCTGAGTAGCAGCCTGCCCTGGGAGGCCAGTTCGTCCTGGAGGCCACACACAGAGCACGCATTGGTGCAGGAGAGCCCTGCTGGTCCCCAGAGCGCTGGCGGTGGGCCAGAAGACAGTAGCATCCTTTAGCAACATGTGAGGCAGGTGGACAGAGGGGAAGGCAGCGAGCTGAGCCTTTGGGCCAGGCTGGAGGGTTTGGGGCTGGCTGGCCGACCAGGGTAGGAGACCCTCAGGCTAGTCTTCCCCAGTGTGTGGTCAGGGCCTCTTCGAGGCGAGGACTAGTAACAAGAGTTAGTAAGACTAATGCCACCTGCCCAGCCCTCAGCACTAGCTCCTGCAACCTGCAGGACATCTCCATGAGGCAGGGGCAGTGACCGCCAGTGGTTTGTCTGGGAAGCAGGGTATAGAGGTGTCTGGTGACAGCCGAGGTCACGCGGCTGTGCAGTGGCATGTGTCCGGGCCAGGCTATGTGGACCTCTGGCTCTGCCCGCAGGCCTAGCCCATGGGGCCCGGGGCGTGTGGGGGCCCCTGGGACGGAGGGCGTCCCTCTAGGGGTCGGTAATGGGTCCATGGGTACCCGCCTGGTCCTGCTGGGCACGGACTCAAAGCTCTGGCTGCAGACGCGGGGGCCAGGGGTCGGAGAGGGCCCCAGCCACCGCCCCACGAGCCGCCCAGGCGGCCGGCGGACGTGGCGCACACCCCGCTCCCTGTCGGTTAGCTTGTACCCGGCCGCGTGACGGTGCTCGTTCTGACATGTCCATCTCTTCTGTGTGTACGTGTGTGTCCTGGCTGCCTCCACCTTTAGTGTTTCGTTCGGAAATGACACTAGGTACAGCTCACTTTTCTCTTCCGCACCCGCTTGGTCGTCCTCTTCTGCTTGTCAGTTTCCTTTCTCCCGCGCTCTCTGCCGGTCTGGTCACCCCGCTGTCCTCACGGCCCTTCCTCTGGATCACTGTCCTTGGTGACATGTATGTGACAGCAGCCCTGCCCCGTCCCGCTGCTTCACCCTGGGCCCCCGCAGTGTGCCCTGGAGAGCCGGGAGGCCGCGACGCGGGCTGCGCCCCAGCGTGGCCTCACCCCTCCTGGCGGCCCTCCGCACTCGGGAGGGGCCTGGCCGCACCGGGGCTCGTGCGGCTGTCGGCAGCCTGTGCTGACCTGTGTCTCAGCCGTGTCTTCGAGGGTGCTTGGATGGAAACGGGGCACAGCGGGGTGCTGAGCGGTGCTGTCCGGGGCTCGCGCAGCGGCCGCACTGTGGACTGAGGCAAATTCCCCACCTCACGTAGGATCCTGAAAGGGGCACCCAGCCTAAGCAAGAGTCTGGGAGCTCTGCCGTCGGGCGGTTGACAAGGAAAGCCTGCTCCGCCGCGGAGGCCACTGCAGACTAACTTCCTGGCCTCCTAGGGACGGCTTAAGCTGCCCTCAGAGGGGACTCTGGGCCACGGGCTTCTGCTCTGCTCACTTTCTTCCCTGGTTAGAGATGCGGACAGGGGAGGTCTGCTTGGAGCTGAGTGGAGAGGAGCCTGGCTGCGGGGGGCAGGGGGGCGGAGGGCGGGGGGCGATGCTCTTTGCCATGGGCTGCCCCGCTTCTACTCCAAGCATCCTCTCCCAAGGGGAGGAGACGGGCCACAGAGGGTTTTGGCAAACCCGGGCAGGTTGGCCCCTCCTTACTCAGACAGGGCAGGAGGGGGCGGTCCCCGTTCTGCCCTCTCCCCTTCTCTCACCACTCGGTCTGCCTCCACCTCCGCTCTCCTCCCTCTCTCCCTTCCCCTTTGTTGCCATGTCCCAGCCCGCTGGCCTCCCTCCCTCCCTTCTCCGCTCCCTCTCCCATTCCTGCCTCAGCACCAGCGCAGTGGGCTGCCCTACCCGTCCGTGCACAGGGGAGCCCGCCCCCCTCAGCCCAAGTAAGGAGGAGCCTGTTCTCCACACCACCCAGGCAGCTGTCCCCGCGGTGGCCCACACGTCTCTGTCCGTGTCTGTCTGTCTGCATGTCCCCAGCCTACGAGCGCGGCCCGCGTGCTGTCATGTTTTACCTTGTCTCTGCTTCCTTTAAGGACCTTCTACCAGTTCGAGGCTGCGTGGGACAGCTCCATGCACAACTCTCTCCTGCTCAACCGGGTCACCCCGTACCGAGAGAAGATCTACATGACTCTCTCAGCTTACATCGAGGTGAGAAACCCCCAAAGCCTCCATTCCCCAAGACTGAGCTGCTTGCCATGGGGCAGTGAGGGTGCTCGGTGGCCCTGGAGAGCCCCAGATGACCCTACTGTCTTCTCAGAGGACTTGTCAAGTCCTTGTTCAATCCCCGTAGTTTCCAGGGCGCTGCTCACAGCGCCCACCTCCCATCCCACTAACTTCAGGGTGGGGTTTTGCCCTCGGGCTGCAGGATGGCTGCATCCAGGCTCCAGATGGGCTGAAAACAGAAGCCTGCTGACCCACCCCAGGGTCTTGGGCTGTCCCTTCCCTTCGAAGCTCTGGGGGAGGCTGGGAGCATAGGCATTGCTAGCTGGGTGCAATATTGAGGAATTAGGAGGTTCGGGGTCGGCAGCCAGTGGCACAGGGAAGGCAAAGGCACCCACCTCCTCTCCGAGCCTAAAACTCCAGCTATGATATGGGGACCCACGTGACTGCCTCTTGGGATGGTGGTTTGTTGGGGAGATGCTGCCAGGGCTCTGCCCCAGTAAGGCCCCGGCACACACAGGCTTTGTCGGGGTGCTGTTGAGCTTTGGGAAAACAAAAGAGCCAGCTGTGTAAGACACAGCCCGTCAGCGCCCTGGAAGTCACAGAGAAGAGAATGCGGGTGTGGAGCCAGGATCTGCTTCCATCCTCACTGACGTTTCCGGGAGGGTGTCGCCTGATCCTATGGCGAGGCAGTTGGGGCCCATGACTGGGATCCTCGGGGTCCCGGGCACAACACCCAGCCCTCTGCAACCCAGGAGGTGGGGTCCTGGCTCTCCCCCAGGAGTCAACTGGGGGGAGCCAAGAACCCCCACCTGGGTCTGGGGCCATGCCAGGGGCCCAGGAAGGTCTGAGGCTGCCGATCGGTGGTTAGAAGGGGGTCTAGGGCCCAGGTCCTGTGGGGGTGCTCAGGTGCCTGAGCCCCACCCCTGCCCCCCATGGCAGATGGAGAACTGCACCCAGCCAGCCGTCATCACCAAGGACTTCTGCATGGTCTTTTACTCTCGGGATGCCAAGCTACCTGCTTCACGCTCCATCCGCAACCTGTTTGGCAGTGGGAGCCTGCGGGCCTCGGAGAGGTGAGCCTGCAAGTGGGGGCGGCGGGGGGCTGCACAGGGAATGGCTGGGAGAGGTGAGCCTGCCCGCGGTGGGGGGTGGGGGGTGCTGCTGTCTGGACTCTGCATGGGGAGTGGCGGGGAGTGCCCAGCAGAGGCTCGAGTGACAGGCCTGCTGCAGGCCAGCCCAGATGAGAAGGCAGACTGGCCACTCTCCCCATCAGTCCCCTGCCCTGGCGCCCTCCTGTGGGTGGTCCTGGGGCCCCACTCCGTCCCCATGGCTGAGAGACCTCCTCCCCAGGGACCTCAGGGATCATGCCAGCAGGACCGGGGGCCTGGGATGGGAAAAGGATGCTCTGGACAGAGCCTCTTGCCTCTTGGAGGCTGGTAGCACCCGAGGGAGTAGAGTGTCAGGCCCGGAACCAGCCATCCCCTCCTGCCTTCTGGCCAGTCCCTGCATTCCTGGGGGCGGGGGGAACGAACAAGAATGTCAAGGCAGGGGGTACCTGGTGGCTCAGTCATTAAGTGTCTGCCTTTAGCTCAGGTCATGATCCCAGGGTCCTGGGATCGAGCCCCACATCGGGCTCCCTGCTCAGCAGGAAGCCTGCTTCTCCCTCTCCCTCTCCCCCTGCTTGTGTTCCCTCTCTGGCTGTGTCTCTCTCTGTCAAATAAATAAATAAAGTCTTAAAAAAAAATGTCAAGGCAGTGAAGAGGGGGCTTTGTCCCAGCAGCAGAGACCACCACGGGTGCTAAGCCACCTACACTCACCTTCAGTGAGGCTCCCCACACTTTCTCGTGGACCCCAGTGTGCAGGACACTCGGGGCACAGACAGGAAGATGGAGTATGGGGTTCAGGACGTAGTGGCCTCAGGCTGGCTACGACCCAGGCATCCAGGGTCACGTGGTGAGCATGGGAGACTGCCTGGTGGCTGGGCCCACCTCCATGACAAGGCTGGCTGTGTGCACTCCGCCAAAGGGGGCCCGGAGGGGTCAGGGATGCAGACTGTCCATACAGGGCTGCAGCTCAGGGCACCCACACCAGGCCACCCGGCATGGGTGTGCAGTGGGGCTCGTGCCCCACGTGCATTTGACAGGCCCTTGCTGTGCTTGGTGTCCACACGTCCCCCCTCTGCTTCCTGCAGCAACCGCGTGACGGGCATCTATGAGCTCAGCCTGTGCCACGTGGCCGATGCTGGCAGCCCAGGTAGGCCTCTGCCCTGCTCTCTCTGCTGGGAGGGGGGCACTTTGTCAGGGAGCCAGGGTTCCCTGGGGTCACTCAGGTCACCTCAGCTAAGCTGCTTTTTGGGGGGCCCTCCCTTTCGAGACTCACATGCTCACGTTTGGACTTGCGGAGTTGTCCTGAGAGGCCAGAGGACAGTGAGGGGAGAGGCGACGCTGGGGGTGGCTTCATCCACCGTGCTGGATGATGTCCTGTGGGCGAGGCGCTCCCCAGGGGGACCAGCCTCCTTCCGTGGAAAAGTCCCACCCTGAGCCCAAGGCCTGGTGCCAGGGCAGGGATGTGGCCAGCCCAGGGTCCCCGTTCTAGGGATGCAGCGGCGGCGAAGGCGAGTGCTGGATACATCTGTGGCCTACGTCCGCGGCGAGGAGAACCTGGCGGGCTGGAGGCCCCGGAGTGACAGCCTCATCCTGGACCACCAGTGGGAGCTGGAGAAGCTGAGTCTGCTGCAGGAGGTGAGCTTGCGCGCAGCGGGCACAGACGGCCCAGGCGGCAGGTGCACGTGGGAAGCAGGATGCTGTGAGGAAAGCTGCGGCAGGAGCGGGAGTGTCCATCCACTCAGTGCCCGCACGGACGCTAGGGCCGCAGACACAAGATGGAGGGCACCCCGCTCTGCCTTGCAGGGCGGCCGGGGCGGGGCTCAAGGCCGAGTCCCATCAGCAGCACGGCCCGGGGGAAGTGGTGGGTGGGCTCTCCCGGGTCCCAGCAGCCAAGCTTGTCCGGTCTCGTGTGCAGGTGGAGAAGACTAGGCACTACCTCCTGCTGCGAGAGAAGCTGGAGACCAGCCAGCGGCCCGGCCCCGAAGCGCCGTCCCCCGCTTTCAGCGAGGACTCCGGTTCCCACGGCTCGTCCAGCCCCTCCTCCCCACTCTCAGCCGAGGGCCGGCCCTCCCCTCCGGAGGCTCCCAGCGAGAGACAGCGGGAGCTAGCCGTCAAGGTAGCTCAGGCAGCACTGCACTGACCCCGGCCCCTCCAGGGCTCTAGTGACCCAGCCTTGTCCTATCAGAGCAGGAGGCGGGGGAATGAGGGGTCCATAGAGGCCCCTTGCCTGCCCCTCACTCCACCCACAATCGAATTTGGCAGCCTTTTACAGCTTCCTCCCCCAAGCAGTGATCTGCTTCCTTGAATACCTGTGCTGATGGGGAGCTCACCCCCTCTATCCAGAGCTGGCTTTTTCTGTGGCTCGACAGGCCACTGGGAAGACCTCTTAGACTGGGCAACGCTGCCCCCCCCATCTTTGCCCTGGGCACAGGGCCTGCTCCCAGAGGCTTCCCTGGCTCACCCATCACCTTAGAGGATGGAGCTGCTGCCTACCTTGGGCTGCTGAGCCCGGGCCCTCAGCCAGTCCTCCATGTCCAGGGGCCATGCCTGTGGCCAAGCCAGGTCCTAGGCACTTCCTGACCGACGTTTGCTCTCGTTGCAGTGCTTACGCCTCCTCACGCACACATTCAACAGAGAGTATGCCCATAGTCACGTCTGCATCAGCGCCAGTGAGAGCAAGGTGGGCAGCAAGGGCCCCGCGGGGCTGTGTCACCAGGAAAACTTCGCACCCCTATCCAGGGAGGGAAATCAGGGTTTTCTTAGAAACATACTGTCACAGCCTGAGGGAACATCGCATGGCCAAGGCCAGGAGCCGGGTCTGTGTGTGGGGTCCGTGGAGCGCTGGGGCCTTCAGGGCCAGTCGGGGCCAGGCCCACCCAGTCCCCTCCCTGCTTCCTCCAGCTTGGCCCTCACTCTGCCACCCCTGTCCTGGGCTGCTCATGCCACGTCCTCGGAGCTGTCCTTCCTCTACAGGGGGGGCCGCTCCTGCGCCTCCCCCACCCACCCTGGCACAGGACCTGCCGTGCACAGCTGCCTCGCAGCCTCTGGCCCATCACCGGTCTTCACCCTTGGCCTACGGCCTGCCGCGTCCAGCCTTCCTCCTTTGCACTAGCCTCCCCCTCTGCCTGGAAGGGCCTCTCACCACAGCTCCTGGGCTGCGCATGATACAGTCCGGGCTCAGAGCCTGCACCTTGGCAGAGCCTTCTCTGACCCCGCTGTGGTCCTTGCTCGCTCTTTGGAGCCCAGCAGTCACAAATCCCTCCTGAGGCAAGACAGAGCCTGACACCCAGGGAAGAGCACGCCAGGGGCGTGTGGGGCTGGGAGAGGTTCAGGGGAGGCTGGGAAGAAGGTCTGGCCCTCAGTTGGGATGGGGGTGCCCTAAATGGAGGTAAAATGCGAGCCGAGGTACAGGAATTAGCCACTGTAGGGGAGTCCACACCCCGTATGACCTACAAAAGGCTCACTGTCCTTCACAGCTCTCTGAGATGTCTGTCACCCTGCTTCGGGACCCGTCCATGTCCCCTCTGGGGGCGGCCACGCTCACCCCCTCCTCCACCTGCCCCTCTCTGGTCGAAGGGCGGTACGGAGCCGCTGAGCTGAGGTGAGTGAGCTCCAGGCTCCTGGAGAAGCTCCCAGTGCCGGGAACCGACTGATTAATGGTGTGGCTGCGACTCAGGTGCAGAGTGTGGAGGCGGGGCCGGCACAAGAGAGCAGGGATGGCCGCACACATCTAGGGCAGCGCCCGGTGGAAGGGGTCTGCCCCGCACCCTGCCTTGGTTGGCACGGCCCCCATCCAGTCTCCAGTTGTCTTACTCTTCCAAGGACGTTTTCTGCTGAAACACTGATTTAAAGTGTTGTGGGGACTAAAGCCAGGAATGGGTCAAATAGCACAGAACAAAAAACCCTTTTCAGGGGGAAGCGCTCATACAATACTCAGTAGGATAAAAGGTGACAAAGCAGAGCCCAGAGACCCATGGCCCATGGCCGTAGACAAGGACGGCCTGACATCTGCTCAGCCCCCCAGCTTTACTAGCACCGCCGAGCCCTTACATTTTAAATCCCTCAAGATGTCCACGTTTTGTTCGTAAAACAGAAAAGGCATCAAGCCCTCTGGGCCTCCCCAGAGACAGGCCTCACTGGCCATAGGTCAGGCCCTTTAGGCCCGACAGGCCCCTGTGCGAGTGGCCCCTGAGGACGTGGCGATAGACTCAGCTCCGCTGGGGATCTGGAGAGAGGGGCCACTTTCACGAGGGCGGGGAGCAGAAGGTCCCGCAGGAGAGGGGCCGTGGATCTGGCGCAGCTGGCCCTGCCTCTGGCGCGGGGCCCTCCCTGGCACCCTGGCGCAGCCCTGGAATCAGGCGGCCCAGGCCCACCAACCCCAGCTGTGGGTGCGGCTGGGCGGACCCTGAGGGGTGCTCGCGGCAGCCCCGAGGGGGTGATGCTGGTGGTGGGAGGAAGCCCTGGCCGGGATGGCGCCCTGACCCGGCGAGGCGTCTCCTTGCAAGAATGCAAAGGCTCGGCTTTGCTTTCCCAGGACCCCTCAGCCCTGCTCCCGGCCGGCCAGTCCAGAGCCCGAACCTGTGCCAGAGACAGATCCGAAGAAGCTTCCCTCCCCGGCTCGGGCAACGGAGGCAGACAAGGAGCCCCAGCGCCTGCTGGTTCCTGACATCCAGGAGATCCGGGTCAGGTGTGTGGGGGACCCTGCCCCAAACAGGGGCACTTCTAAAGCACCATCCAGCCTGCTCTGTCCCCACAGCTCCGTACAAGGGAGACAGGCTGGCCACCCCTGACCGAGGGCAGGGGCAGAGAAAGCGGACAGCACAGGGGGGAGGGTGGGCCAGGGCCAGGCCCGGGGCGGGGGACCCAGCAGGCACCTCTGCAGAACCACGGTTTCCATGCATCTGCACGTTACTAGTCTGGCCATTGTGCAGCCCTAAGAAGGCCACCGTCTACAGGCTATGGTCACGTGACACAGAGTGATAGCTCAGGGGCAGCTTCAGCTTTGTTTCAGTTTCTCCATTATACAGCTGGGGAAACTGAGGCCCAGAAGTGGTGGTTCTGGTCTCTGGCCTCCCGGGTTGGGGTTCCGCCAGGTACCTCATAGCACCTCGGCCCTGGCTGTTCTCGGGGGCCCGCTTTCTGACCTTCCCGGTGGCCGGTACTGCCAGGGGCCTGGTGGTGGGTGGGGGTCCTGCATGGAGACCCCCCCCCCCCGACTGCCAAGAGCACACGAGCCAGCAACTGTCCCTGCTCTGCAGCCCCATCGTCTCTAAGAAGGGGTACCTGCACTTCCTGGAGCCACACACGGCGGGCTGGGCCAAGCGCTTTGTGGTGGTGCGGCGGCCCTACGCCTACATGTACAACAATGACAAGGACTCCGTGGAGAGGTTTGTGCTCAACCTCTCCACCGCCCAGGTGGAGTACAGCGAGGACCAGCAGGCCATGCTCAAGGTGCGGCCTCGGAAATGGGATGGGGGCTCCTGGGCTGGCCGAGGCCCGCAAGCCACCAGTGGGCCTTGGGGAGGGGGAGCTGGGCCTAGTCCCCTGCGGGCCCTGTTTAGGCTCGCTGCCAGACCGAGGCCCTCGTGTTCAGTCTCACGCAGCATCCCTCTGCCTCTCATGTCGGGGGTCCCTCTCTGCTCACCCGTGGGGCTCCTGGTCCTGGTGACGACCAGCCGTGATGGGCTGTGGTCCTACGGGGGCGGGGGGCAGGCATTGACCCACTCCCATTCAGGAGAGGCCAATACCCAGTCCCCTTCTCCTGGGGCCACCCAGCCCCACAGGGCCGGCCATGTAGGCCTGGGAGTCTGGCCTTCCTGTCCCCGGGCTTTGTCCTGCTCCTCTCCGAGCTGCAGTGGCCCTGGACGTGTGTGCCAGGAGCCCTGACTCCTTCTGCTGGAGGCCACAGTGCTCGCTAGCTGATTTTGATTCCCTCTAGTAGGGGTTTGGGGGCACAAACTCAGCCTGCCACCCACACCTGCCCCACCAAGTGCTCAGACTTTAGCAGAAGAGGCCAGGCCCAGCTGCTGAGCCAGGGTCACAGGGGAAGGAACCTCCACCCGTGGGGGATGGACGCATCCTGGGGGGTGCAGAGCAGTGGCAAGGTAGCCCTGGGGCACGAGAAGAGTCAGGGTGTCCTGACTGCAGAGCCTTCTGCGAGTGAGCCACACCTGCCTGCGTCAGAATGGGCCGTGCAGGCTGCAGAGAGTGGGGTGGCCTTTCCAGCTCTCTCCCGGGGGCCTTCTTTCCCGCATCCTGCCCCCTGAGCTGTCCTAGCCGGGCCCCAGGGGAGTGACCAGGGGGAAGCCTCAAGCCTTCTCACGGCCTCCCGCCTTCGCAGACGCCCAACACGTTTGCTGTGTGCACGGAGCACCGTGGCATCCTGCTGCAGGCCAACAGTGACAAGGACATGCACGACTGGCTGTACGCTTTCAACCCGCTCCTGGCCGGCACCATACGGTATGGGGCCCCCTCGGCACCGCCCGCCCTGCTCCTTTGGCTTAGGAGCACATTTTGAGGACATTAATGTTCGTTTTGGTGTTGCTGCTGGTAAAGTATAAATCCCCGAGACCTTCAATATGTACAGTGTACCAGGGGCCGGCCTGACGTAGTTGGAAATGTGGCACACAGTCAGGCTCTGGTGGATGGGAGCCCTGCCCCTCCAACACCTGGGACCCCTGGCCGGCGGGCGGGCTGCCCCTGTGAGTCACAGGGACGGGAGTCGCTCTCCAGGTGGTGAGGGAAGCAGAGGGGTGTCAGCTGCATGGAGGCCGGCATCCCGACCGCAGCTTGTCTCCCGACCCTCCTGCAGGTCCAAGCTCTCCAGAAGGCGGTCTGCCCAGATGCGGGTGTGAGCAGGAGCCCTCCCGACAGCCAGCAGGCCGGCCCCACCCCCAGGCCTCATCACCACCCGTCATGTCACGCGTGCCCAGCCTGCCCCACCAGCCAGCCAGCAAGTCCCCTCTTGGGGACACCACCTCTGGCCCAGGGACCTGTGCCACACGACCTGTCCTGCGCCCAGCAGAGGCCGCGTTTGTTCTTTGTTCTTTCCGAGCGTGCCCTGGGTGGGAAGAGCTGGGAGGTGCTGGAGAGGCCAGAGGGCACAAGCCACAGGGGCATCGCCGCCGTTCTGATATTTTTTTAAGCATAGACAGACTTATAATTAATATACATTAGTTAGTGACATTGAAACAGTCCACTCAGAAATTAACTATAAGACTGTGTTCTATTTATAAGTATTTATTTCTAATGCCTTCACATACACCTGTAGGATTCCGATGGACCCTGTCCCCCGCTTGCTCCCACTCACGTCCCCCAAGGCTCGTATGGAAGGCCACGGTGAGGGGGTGTCTGCATAGGCCGGGCACCTCCTGGTTGGCACCACGGTGGCACGCCGGGCCAGGCCCAAGCAGAGGCTTCTCCCCAGCCGCACGGGCGTTAGGCCCTCATCCCAGGGTGTGTGTGTGTGAGCGTCAGGGGACCTGGTGCCTGGAGTCCGAGCGATGGAGGGTGGCGTGGTCTTCCAGTTGGAGGTATCTCTCCCTGGGGGCGTGGGGAGTAGGGGGAGACCAGGCAGATGGGCGCCTGGGCTGTGGGGCTCTCCTGGCAGGGACTGCAGGTGGCGTCGTGTGTCTAGGCCAGCAGGGTGCTGGTGGCTGGGGTTCAAGATGGGCCAGGTGGTGAGGGGTTTGGGGTGCAGCTTCTCCAGGTGCTGTGAGAAATGGGGTGAGCTCAAGGTCATTCCTGGGGAGAAAGTGTGTGACGTCCCCCCTTTGCCCCAAGAGAAGAGTTTCTGAGAGTCCCGGGGTCAGGTGAGGGCAGCCAGCACCAGGGCCACTGTCAGCCCCCTGTCCTGCTCCCGAGGGGGCTGTCCTTGTGCTGTTCAGAGAAAGCTCTTGTTCCAAGATTCACTTCATTCTCTCTGCAGACTCCATGCCCGAGGGCCAGCCCGGACAGGGCCAGGGTCTGCCCCAGGCATCACACCCAGGCCAGAAACCCATCAGAGAGACCACGGGGCCCAGGGGGTCTTCTGTGACCTGTTCCCACACCCAAAGGCACACGTGGCCTTCTTCCAACTCTAGGAAAAACAGCAACCAAACCACAAAACCCCTGTCCCCACCATGGCCCACTGAGAGCAGGTTTCATTCAGAGTCGGGGGGGAGGGTTCCAGGCCCAAGGTCGAGGCCAGCCGGTCCACACTGTTCTCTGCTGCCTTTGCCGGGCCCTGCGGGGCGCCCCTCACGGACCCCTCACCTTTCCACTCAGTTTGGATTACCTTGTCGCACCCCAGTCAGCGGTTCCAAAACCCCCTTCAGCCTGGGCCGTCCCCACGTGACATGTGGACACTGTCCCCATTCTGTGCACGGAGGTTGGAAGTGTGTGCAGCCGCGTTCCTCCAGGGACATGTGGGCTTGGCTCCCATACCAGGTGAGAAGTTTGAGGCTCTCCTTGGGAAAGTTATTCAGGCTCCTTCAGCACCGCCGCAGACGTGGGACTAGGTGGTGGGCTCCCGACCTGAGTAGCCTCTGGCAGTGGTGTCTGGCCCACCAGCCGCCCCAGCCGCCCCAGCCGCCCCAGCCTGGCTGGCGGCAGAGACCAAGCGTGCCTGTTCCACACCCGGTCTCAGGCAGCGCGTCAGTGGCCCCTTTCACTCACTGCTACCCTCAAACCCCGTGCTTGGAAGGCACCCCTGGTGGAGTAGCTCCATCACTAAGACACGGGTCCTGGGAAACCATATCTGTGAAGGGCAGGGCTCAGTAGCCTTCTCTGGAGGCCCCCAGATGAGGGCTCACACCCCAGGCTGAAATCAAACGTCATCCAGAAACCAGACGTTCCTAGGCCTGGACGCAGAGAACAGGGGTGCGGCACGGTCCAGAGCAAGCACTTATTCTGGCTTTTACAATGGCCTGGAGGGCAGGGAGGAGGACCAGGAAGGGAGGGAGCTATGCCAAGATGAGTTCGTTCCCAGGAACCCCACCTACCCACAGGGAGCCCGGAGGTGCAGGGCCCCGGCCACAGCCTGCTCAGGTCAGCCAGCCTGCAGCCGTGGCCTCGGAGGGTCAGAGGCCCTCGCTCCCTGGACGCAGGTATCTGAGGCCAGCCAACCTACAGAGCACCTGCCTCCTGGTGTGGGCTGAAGGAAGGGGGCCCATGCGAGGGTTTCTGGGAATCACCCCAAATTCGGGAGCCTCCACGGCCATGGAGGTGCTCCAAGGACTGTTTAATTCTGGCCTGGTGCCACTTGGCAGTTGCCTGGGAGCCCCAGCCCCTTTGTCACAGTCAGACCTTCAGAGTTGCTGGGGAGAGAAATCTGAGTCGGAAAAGCTGGTTTCTTCATGTCTGCCCTTGCCAGAAGCTACCCACATGTCACGTTAGGGGGGACAAGCATTTAAAAAACTGGGATGTGCTCTTCACATCTGTGACCCGGGAGGCTGATCTGGGGGCCCCTGAGGGTCTGCCCATTGTGGGGTACAGAGGGGAAAGTCAGACCTGACTATTTCCCACTAAGTGGGGAAGGAAGAAAGATCCAGAAAGGCATCTATCTGGGAGGTTTTTGTTTTAACGCTTGATGCCACTCATTTCGGTTTGAGGGACAGCCATCCTCACCCACAGACGCTCTCTGTCTCCTCCAGGGTAGGGTGAGCTCCTTCTGCCATGGTCCCAGGAAGGGTGGGGGGGGCCGCTAGGCTCCAGTGCATCCAGGCTAGTCCCCAGGGGTGAGGGTTCCGAGGCCGCCTCGTTCTGAGTCATCACTCCTACGGTGCCCGCGTCCCATTCACCATCACACGCACATGCACACGCTCACACACCCCCGGGTGGCTGCAGTGAGATGCCCTCCATCAATCCGGTCCCTACTCCGCACCTGTGGGGCAGGTGTGGCAAAGCATTCGGGGAGAGTTCCTGAATGCTGCTGGTCCAGGTGTGAGCAGGGTTGCCGTGCTGGCCCTCTGTCAGCTCCCTCCTGTGCGGGGCCCCAGAAGGTGCCCTCCTTTTATCCCCAGGATCAGCAGAGGCTGTGGCTTCCTGAGGGCCTGAGCTTCCTGCCGCTAGCCGTCCCCTGAGCTCCCCTGTAGCTTGTACATATGTGGTTGTGTGACACACCCTGGCCCCCGCGCTGTAACCACCATCCTGACGTAACGACTCCAGTTCCCTGACGTCCTAAACCCAAGTGTTAGGCTCTAGGCTCCTGTACTGTGTGTGTGCACTTAAAATTCTGTCCAATTAAGAAATAAATGTGGTTCCTTATGCAACACCAGACCTGCGGGCCTCCACTGTGGCTTTATTTGTGTGTGAAGTCTGTTGGATGCAGCCAAAAATGGCCACTGGGGCCAGATGTCCAGCACTGTCCAGAGACAGTACCCGCTCCCCACAGTGGGGAGGTGGTGGGGGCGGAGAGCCTAAGGGGTGTGAGGGACAAGATGGTGTTTATCGTGGGAGCACCACCTGCTTCCCTCGGCACCTGGGTCATACCCGTGTGTCGCTCACACGCCCTCAGGCACGCCGGGCAGCCTCAAGCTTTTCTGTATGGTCAGCATTACCCCATACCAAAACCAGACAAAGGTATTACAAGAAAATGAAACTACAGACCAATATCCCGCATCCACATAGAAAACAAATATTTTCAAAAACCTTTTACCAAATGGAATCTAATGATACGTAAAAAGAATAATACTGTCATCACCAAGTGGAGTTTATCCTGGGAATGCAAGGTTGGTTCAAAAACTAATCCGTGTGATTCATCATCTTAAACTAACGGAAGAAAAATTGCTCTCTCTATAGACACAGAAGAAGCATTTGACAAAATTTAATATCCACTGCTAACTAAGCCTTTAGCCAGTAAGGTCATAGAAAAGACCAATAGGGCAATAAAAACATACCTGATCAATCAAAAGAAGAAATGAAAAGGGCACAAAGAGCAGTTGGACAAAAAGAAAACAAATAATAAGAGAATAGACTTCTATGCAAATTGGCCTTTAATGATATCAGCTGGAAATGGACCAAACATCCTGCTTCAGTCAGGAGAGACAACAGTGGTATTTCGATAGAAAAATTCTCTATGAAGAACTGCTAACTGGGAATCTAAGGTATTTGGACAACGTCTACCTCGTTATGGAACCACACATTACAGGATGTGGCTGAAAGAAAACTGAAGCTGAAATTGGTCCCGTTTCTGGATAAGCGGAGAAGGACACCAGGGGGCTGCAAGCATCAAACTCCAGTGTGTGTGTCGGTTTGTGATGATTCCAGATCCACTTGTTTGTGACTTACGCGAAGTTGTTTTGATCTCAGGGTGAATGTGTTGACAATGAGGAAGCTGTGTCAGGATGCAGTTTTCCACATCTGTGGTCCATAAACGATGGCAACTGTGGATGGGCACACAGGGAAGAGGGGCCACGACGAGTGGGCATTTAAGCTTCAAATATTGAGAGCTTGCGAGGACTTCCCTAGAACGTTTGGTCTGGGCAAGGCCATCCTTCACTGATCTACAGTGCTCTCCCAAGATCTGGGGCATCAGCTCCTGCGCGGCGATTGGCGGCCGTGGTGAAAATGCCTGAGAGGGGGCCTCTTCCCACCAACACGGCACCTCCGTTCCCCTACAGTGTGCTCTGCAGCAGGGGACCTGTGCTTCATGCCTACAGCTGGACGTCCGCTCTCACTGGCTAAGCTGTCTCTTCTGAGAACCCACTCGCAGGAAGGTACCCCTCAACTCAGTAGGACTTCCGTTCTGTCCTCTCCCCTTTGCCTGGAACAACCGTGCATCAGTCGACGGTTGTCTGGAGAATGTTATTTATTGGCTTATTAAGAGACATCATCCTGTGTGCTATTGGCTGGGCAACTATTACTACTATAAATTATAATTCCCACGGTGGACCTGTGCTAAATAAACTATTGGCAAAGACAATGAGCAGTCTCTGAGCATAGTTTGCCTCAAAGAAAACATCCAGAACATGGGAAAATTCATGTGAAAATGACCTCAGTTCTTCAACAAATAAACTGTAAGATGAGAGAATGAAGGGGATCCAATGAAGAGACAATCAAGAGGCCCCTTATGGATTCCGGTGTTCCTAAAAGTCAAAAACATTAGGCAATCATCTCAGACTGTAAAGAGCTTAGCAGCCATGATGCCTCATCCTAAGAAGAAAAAAGCTGAATAAAACCAGAAGCAAGTTTTCTTGCATCTGTCAGAGAAATGAGGTCACAGGGCAAAGTGTCCCCCAGAATCTGGAGCAGGGAGCATGGATGGTCCCAGCTGAGATCCGCTCGCTAGTGGTGCAGAAGCTGCGGGGCCAGAGCTGCGTAGGAACCCTGGGACGGCAGTTCTGACT